TATCAGAAGACTTCAGGCCTGTTTTGTCTGCGCATCGTCATCTACGTATGTTTCGTTTCGGGTGTAATGTCTGTTTTGCTACCGGCCGGTTTTGTGTGCCAACCCCCCCCCCCCCTGCGATATCGGCGATGCCGTGACCAGCGGAGGGTGCGGCGGCCGCCCTGACCCCTGCTGCCGCTCGCAGACGAAGCGCTCCGAGCCGCCGATGCTGACCGTGGACGACGGCGTGAAGACAGAGCTACAGCAGGCACTCAGCAACCGCTACACACCGGCCAACCGCACACTGAACCTAGGCCAGTTCCACGCCGACCCCTGTGAGTGTCCGGTGGCCTCCGTAGCCCGGGCGGGGCTCAGTGGCGCTCGGGCTGACACGTGGGGGCGTGGCGCGCACCGTCCGGGGTGGGCTGGCGCGCCGTCCGGGGTGGGCTGGCGCGCCGTCCGGGGCGGGCTGGCGCGCGCCGTCCGGGGCGGGCTGGCGCGCACCGTCCGGAGCGGGCTGGCGGCGCCGTCCGGGTGGCTGGCGCGCACCGTCCGGGGTGGGCTGGCGCGCACGTCCGGGGTGGGCTGGCGCGCGCCGTCCGGGGTGGGCTGGCGCGCGCCGTCCGGGGCGAGGTTGGCACGCATGACCGGAGGGGTGCGGCCTGAGGGTCCGTCGCCACGGACGCCTCGGCTGGCGTCGCTCCGCAAGGCGGCGGAGGACGGGCTGGTGGGACCGGGAGCGACTCCAGCTGGTGACGGGCTGCCGGGATGCCGTCAGATATCCGGGGCAAGGGCCTGTACCTGCCGCTGTCGCGGCAAAACGTGGTCTCCGCCGTCATCGACATCATCGTCGCCAACATCCCCGAGGTGATGGGCATCAACCTGTCCAAGAACAAGCTGACCAGCCTGGTGCCCTTCAAGCCGCTGAAGAACTCCTGCGCCGACCTTAAGGCGCTGGACCTCAGCCACAACTTGGTGAGTCAGTGTGCTGCCGCGTTTGTTTGGCTGGCGAGCTCAAGCCGCGGCCTGCGACCCTTGCGCCAGCCGCGCATGGGCTCCATTGCGATCCACTGGCCTCCATGCGATCTCGTCTTATTGGGGTGGCATTTGCACAGGTCCTCACCCCAATGCATGTGCCACCATATCACTCGACTTGTGCGTTCTTCCAGGATTCCTGTCGTGTGCGTATATGTATCTCGTGCTCGTTGTCCGACGCGTGCATGTGGTGTACGCACTGCGCTTTTCTATCCGGAATGATTGTCCGTCACCCGTCCGGAATTCCCGGTGTATGTGACCGGTGCACGTTTAAGCCACCTCTTTTTGGAGAAAGATAACCTCGTTTGCAATATTGTTTTATCATTCCCTACCCCTTGTTACGGGAGGACATGACTTGCCCCGTTGCGTGTGGTGGAATACGTTGGTTAGGCGTACTAGAAGAAGCGCCTGGTTTTCCGGTGGTCAATACCCCTGACCTGCAACTTGACAAGGATGAGGTGCATTGTGCGCGCGCTGCGCAGCTGTTGAGTTCGATGAAGGTCATTGGATGAGAACCGCCAGGCGCGAAGATGGTCTGTTGGATGATTTTTCACCCGCCCGCGGCTATCTTCGAAACAAGCCGTGATTATTGCTTAGCATAGACCCTGGTCCCGAAGACATCCCGCCAAAACTTTGACAGCGGTAACAAAACCCGACCGAAAATTGCACCATGAAGCGGCTGAAGATTGAATTTGTGTGGTGTGAGTAGTTTTACCTTTCTTACAGTGTTTATTTTATATTTGTTGTATTTTGATCGGCGCCGAACGGTGCCCTCCTCGCGACAGATAGGAGTCGACGGCAGTGTCAGTAGTGACGGCGTACGGGCCGTACCCTGGTCCCCTCTGATACACCGGCGGCGGTCAGTAGCTTGTCGGTGCTTCGCAAGGGGGACGACACAATCATCGGCCAGCTCGGGTGGTGCCCGGGTGCTCTCGCTAGGACCCGGGCCACCCCGCGTCGGCCACACCTGCGGCCGCCGTGGCTATCTTATCGATGAGCAAGGCAGTCTCAGTAGGCGATGGACAAAGTCGAGCATTGGGTGCTTATCGGGCTGGCCGGCAACCCCTTGCGCTGCAGTTGCGATATGTTTTTTACCTCATTCTGGAGTGTACGACGCAAGCGTCTGTACGTGCATGAGCGCAAGGACGCTCGGACCTGGTTGACAGGGTCGAATGTTTGACTTGCACCTGTTGCGGCTCAAGCTGCTGCTGCGTGGGGGAACCCGATGTGGCGTGGCGCACTGGCGACAAGAGCTGCACGGCGGGCCGACGAAGGACGGGTGGGCAGATGTTCTTTGGGGATGTTGGGAAGTGAAAGACAGTGATCATGGGAACCTGTGAGACAGGCCGCCGGCATGATGCAGCCGCTGAGCCGCGGGTCGGTCCGTCTCATTTGCCCTGGCTTTGGGGGACCAGCTTCCCTCTGATGGCGCATTAATGTTGTTTGCGCTCACTTTGTTAGGCGCGGCGAGTGCCTGTACAATGGGCCTTGGTTCGGCGCATGCTTTATCATCCGCATCACAAATGAGATTATGCTTTTTTCGCATAGCACTACCTGTAGCGTATTGATCTGCTGCGAAACCTTGGGGTAAGTGCAGATTCACACGCCTCACTTGCCCGAAGGGAATTGAAATTCATGCTTAATGCTTGAGTTGGTAGGGGCGCAGCTTCAGGAGCAAGGTCTCGGCGTTATGCATTCGTCTGCGATGCGATTGACCGTGTGCGTTAGCTTCATGGACGAGCGTGGCTTTGCGCTCCACAGCCCCAGCTGGCCGTGTGTGGGCCGGCCCTCGGCCTGCCCGGCTGCACCGCACAAAGCTGTGGTGAGGCGTAGCGTTTAGCGGGTACCTCCACCTTGAGTACCTCTTCCGAGTACCTTGTATAATGAAGGTGGGATGTCGTGGGAATAATGGGTCCCGACGCAGAATGCCGAGAAGCCAGGAGGTCAAGGTGTTGGGCATATCAAATATTGTCTTAACGTTTTGAATTGGCATCGTTGCTGCAGGAGATGTTACCGCGTAGCGATATCAACATATGAATGGCAAAGGGCGTACCAATCCTCCGCCTTTGGCTGGCTTGAGTAATCAAATGCGTCGATAAATAAAGCAATGTGCTTGGTCCCGTCTGATACACTAGCAGTGGCCTGCAGCTGCTGGTGCTTCGCAACGGGACGACATAAGTGCCTGCCGGCGAAACCCATGTTCGAGCCCGTTTTTGTAACGTTCTCGGCCGTCGTTTTTGGGCTACAGTTACTGAGAGCTGTGCTCCGTATCAATCATCAGGTGGGCAAGACGCATAATAGCTCAATCGAGCAAGCCGAACTGTCTTCCCCCTCCCCCTTCTAGTAGGTGGCATTGTCCATAGATGTTTAGACTTCAATTTTTGGCTGTGTAAGCCGGCCGATGAATTTTCAGGTGATGACATATCCGTTCCGCTCTCTCTGGTTGTGCGAGCTCGTTTCCTTACATACTTTTCCGGTACTGGTATTGTCCTCATCAGTTGTTTCTGGAGCGTTGTCTCCTCACGTTTTCGTACTTGTGGTTGTCTTCTCACGGTTTCATGCTTGTGGCTGCAATACGGTCCAGAAGTATGCAGAGGTGTCTGTTTTAGTGTGGTATTGATCATTATTACTTTGTGTGATTTTCTGGTAGGTTAGGAAATGGGTACGCAGTATGCGTCGTCGCGTCACCTTATGAAGTGCTGGCGACCACAGTGTTCAATTTCCGGCTCAAAGCGAGGACACCCAGAAATCAAACTGAGACCTCCCACGTGGAGATCCGCGCGTTACCAACGGAGCCTCATGTTTCATTCGCGTTTACGGATCTGGCTATCTTTGGTCGAAGCAGTCGTCAGTCAATGACACAGAAATATTCCCTGGAGCGGTGCAGTGGCGAGGCCAGCAGCTGGAACCCGTCAGCTGTACCCTTGTCCCCTCTGATACAGCGGCGATGGTCTATAATTGCCGCTGCTTCGCAAGGGGACTACACAAACGTATGCTGTTGTGGACAATGTTCTGGTCCGCGCTTTTCGGCTGGGCATCGTCCGTGGCAGCTACAGTAAGTGGTATCTGCGTGTGCTGTACCATCGACCACTGTCGTCAACAGTCAAAAGTATGTCAGAATCGGTGCCTTGGAAACATGGCGTGCCGTTCTCAGTTGGTTGAAGGAGTCCGTGGATGAGTGAAGCCTCTGTGGGACTGGACTTCGGGAAAATTTTTGCCCCTCCCAAAATTGGTGAAAGCGTATCTGTGGCATCTTTCTGATAAAACGCCTCATCAGGTCAGATCTGCCCCCCCGCCCCCCCCCCCCCCGCCCCCCCCCCAGGCCTCACACATTTTCGGGCGTAGTTAAGGTCTGTGCACAATACCATGGTGTTACGTACCAGTCCGGTCCGTGGGAACGGACTATTCCATGCGAGTACAGCGGCGCGCGGTGTGTAACAAGGTCAGGGACCGTCATCAGGTCACCAAACTTGTAAGTACAAGCTGGTTATTCACAGAGGCGTCTATTTTTCCTGTTAAACAATTTTGCCGGGGTGCCGGGATGCTGCCTCGGCAATACGGTCTGGAATTCACTCTCCATGTCCAACTGCTGGCTGTGACGTGTGGCCGTATGCAGTCCTGGACGGACCGTGCACGCCGTGTCATGCCTGGTCCCCTCTGATACACCGGCGGCGGTCAGTAGTCGCCGGTGCTTCGCAAGGGGACGACACAAATGCCTGCCGGCCGTGGACCCCGCTCGGGTCGGCGCCGCGCCACCCTCAGCGGTCCACGTCGGCTACAGTTACCGGGCTGGGCCTTGGAAGGCCTCAGGGTCCTGCGCATGCTGCCACCCCCATGTATGCCCCGTCATCTGCGCTCTGTTATGTAAACATCTGCACGAACAGTGACGGCCTCCTCGGGAACGTGTGCCGTCGCGACCTGCCCTTCAGACGTGGTCGGTGGTCTGGCGGTGGCGAAGTTTGCATTCGTTCGGTATTTGTGCGCATCTGTGCGCATTTTGACGTGCTGTTCCAGCGTGCCGATTGGCGCCGCCTGGTGTGCTGGAACAGCGCGTCAAAGGTCACAGTTAAGAAATCCAGTCTCCGGTCAATCCCGGTTGCTTCGGCATTGGTTCGTTAGCGTGCCAATATGTCAGTGATAGATCCACTATGTCATCGTCCAGTTAAGTGCTGTCATCTGTCCATTTTCGCGCGGACATGCCTGGCAGTGGTTCACCCGTGGCATGGACCGCCGTACTCTGACCTGGACCGATGTATGGGTGGTCGTGTCCTGCTGCTGCTGTGGAATGTGTGACGTCACGTCCTGTCCTGTCGTGCTGTGTGACCGCCGTGTCCTGCCCCGGCTGCCGTATACCGTGCCGGGGTAGCGGTCCGCCGCTCCGGCGTGGTGGCGGACCGCTACCCCGGCACGACGTCGGACCACCGCCCCGGCGCGGTGGCGGACCGCTGCTCGGGTGCGGTGTGTCCGCCGGGTCCGCTGACGCCACTGCCCGGTCCGCCACAGATGGGCACCGTGGGCCTGCTCGACTCGCTGTCGGGGATGCCGCTGGTCGAACTCAACCTGGACGGCAACAAACTGTGCGACGGCTTCACGGAGAAGGCCGACTACATCAGGTACGCCGGCGCGGCCGACCCTCTGGGCGGCGGCGGCCGGCGGGGTGGGGGGGGGGGGGGGACGGCACCGGACCCCGCTGGCCGCGTGCCGCGCGTGTCGGTCGTCGCCGGGATGACGCATGTCGGCTCCATCAGAGCTGACTGGGCGGCCGGTGCGGGGGAGCGGTCAACCTGTGACGGGGCCTGGCGCTGCAGCGGGCCGAGCTCGCGATGCATGTGCCGCGCGCGGCTCACCGGCACCCCGAAGGGTAGGGCGCGTCGCGGGCGGGCCGGGGGCGGGGGGTGTCTGGCTCGCCGTGTCTGACGCTGGCGATAACCCGTGCCGTCCGAGTCTGACCGCAGGATTCCACAACCGAAGCGCCTCTGTTCCTCAGCGCCGTGCGGAAGCGCTTCCCCAAGATCGTCCTGCTGGTAAGACCCCGCGGAGGTCGGCCGCGGTGATGGCCGGGATCTGGGTTGTGCGTATGCGCTCGACACGGGCTTTTGTGTGCTGTCGCGGCGGGCGCGCGGCTTGTCAAAGATACGCGAAGTCTTGGTGTCGAGTCCATCGGCACTTTCCTCCAACTAAAATGCGTCATATTTGTTGGCATATGTCCGTATGGTTTGTGGTTACCGTCTGGGGCTGACGGTTCCGTTGCCACCAAGTTGTTTATGTCGTCACCGCTCCCTCCGGCAGCCATGTTCATTTGTGCCAGGCTTCCAATCTGACGATTGCACTACTGCCGGATGGTGCTCGTCGCACCCCTGCCTGTACTAACTGTCCCCGTCTCCTATTTGGCCTCGCCGGAGGCGGCACACCGGTCAGCCGACGCTGAGACGGTGAGCGCCCCGGCGTCGCGCGCGCCCCACCCCACCGCCGCCCCCGCTGGCTGGCTGCGTGTGTGACCCGGCGTGACCCGGCGCTCGGCCGCAGGACAACGTGGAGCTGCCTCCGCCGATCGAGTTTGACGTGGAGGACGACAGCGTGGCGGCCAAGAAGTTGCCCGAGTCGAAGAGCTCGTTCTTCTGCGGCTCGCAACCGCGCGGTGAGTGCTGGCCGCCGGGGCGGAGCGCGGCGCCAGGAGCCTTCTGAAGCCGAGGCTGGGCCAGCGACCGGGGCGCCGCGCCTGTTCGGCTGCGGCTGCCGACCCCTGGCTGCTGCCTACCGGCTGCTGTCGTGGCTCGGCTGGTGTCGGTGTGGTTTAGCTGTGGTCTGTTTTTTGGGTGCCGTCAGCGGCGGCTGCCGAACCCCGGCTACTGCCTACCGACTGCTGTCGTGGGCTAGCTGGTGTCGGTGTGTTTTAGCTGTGGCCGGTTCTCTGGTTGCCGCGAGCTGTTTGTCTGTGCTCGGTAGGGATTCAGTTTTAGCTGTGTCGGTCCTACGTGTGCTTGATCTTATCGTTTATTTGTTTATTTATTTATTGGCACGTAGCCAACCTGTGGTCGGCTCCGCGCGCGCCCTGTAGTGGTTGTGCTGATGTATCAGTGAGAGACTGAAACACGATGAGAACCGCCACGGTGAGACCGAGCAGTGAGAGTGTTAAGTTTGTGTGTGTATGTGTGGACGGAGACCGCGCCCCGTGCGCCATTGTCCTCGTGCCTGGTGCGCCTCTGACCGCCCCGACGTCTAACTGCATTGTCCGCCCCCATGCCGCAGACATCGCGCTCATGTTCCTGAAGCAGTACTTCGACGTGTTCGACGCTGACAAGCGGGACGCCCTGATGGACGCGTACCACGAGCGGTGCCGCTTCAGCCTCAGCGTGTCGCTGCCGCCGCGCAACAGCTCCGACAGGTGCCAGGGGAGGGCGGGTCGCCCGCTGGCTGTGACCGGGCGGCGCGGGGCGAGGGCAGTGTCCGACGGGCCACGGCGCGCGGCACGCCAGATGGTCATGTGGACGCGGGGGGTGGGCGGGGGCGAGACAAGCCTTTGGCGCGCGATGCGACGCCCGGCGCAAGCGTCACATGAGAGCTCAGGAAGTTAATTTGTGTTCATTTGCGTTGCGTTCGTTTTGTCCGATTCAGCCCGTCGCTGCGAATGCCTTTCGCTGCACTCGGATGCCATGCGCGGATGCGTCGGGTGGAATCGCCAGCCTGTTGTGGTCCGCTGACGCCGATTCCTGGCAGGCTGCACACCTGGATGTCGGACAGCCGGAACCTGCAGCGCACGGCGCGCGAACGGCAGGCGGCACTGCTGCGCTCCGGCAAGCTGGAGGTGCTCGGCGCGCTGGCCCGCCTGCCCAAGACGCAGCACGACTCCAACTCGTTCACCGTCGACGTGCCCGTGGCGAACGTGAGTGACGGAGCTCGGGCTGCGGCGGCCGGGGTAGCGGCGCGGCTGGAAGCCGTCCTGTGCCGGCCGGCGTTGGGCTGCGCAGGGCTGCGGCGACTCTGTCGGACTGCTGGTGTGGACGGTCCTCCCAGTCGCTGCCGTCGGCTGTCGGCCGTGGCAGCTGTCGTGAACCCCCGGCGGCTACCTGGCGCTGACGGCGGTCGCGCCCCGCTGCTGCGTGCCCCGAGACCACTGTCCGCTGGTAGTGACCGGTCCGTCACGTGGTGACGACGCGTCTGCCCAGCTTTCCGCCGGGACGGTCCCTGCGGGAGGGGAGGGGGCGGGGGGAGAGTACACTTCACGCTTCGCCTTCCCGCTGCGGGTCATGAATGCATACAGCACCGGCGCGAACGGAAGTAGCTGAGCGGCAGATGAGCCGCGGGGTGCAGCGTCGCTCGTCTGACCAGCCGCTCGCGGCCGCAGGAGCGTCTGATGCAGATCAGTGTGTGCGGCGTGCTGAAGGAGCGCGAGGAGCGGCACACGCCCGTGCGCGCCTTCTCGCGCGTGTTCGTCATCGTGCCGCACGGCCAGGGGTTCTGCGTCATCAACGAGATGCTGGTCGTCACGCCGGCCACCACGGAGCAGATCAAGGTGGGGGCGGACCGCCACGCGGTGGCGCAGCGGGATGGAGCACTCTGGGCCGCTGGTGCGCACTGCTGAACTAGGTTGGAGGGTGGCGAGGAGTGTGGTACGAGTGCAGAGAGGCAAGCCGGGCTGGGTGTTCTGAATGTGTTTCGTCGTCATTTTTCGTTCACTGCTAGGCACGGTCCCGTACTTTCTGTATTAGGCGACGCGGATCCGAATCAAAGGCGTCCCCAATCCCCGTCGTTTTGATGAAGGAAGTCCTCGCAGAGCAGCAGCAAGTACGGGCGGTCCTCGAAACCTCGATGCATTTACGCACCACGGCGTGCTGCAGTCGCGACACGCCCACGTGGCTCACCGCAGCGCCTCTCCCCACCGCAGGCGGCGTTCAAGCCGTCGGCGCCGACGCCGTCGCCGTCGCCGATCCCGCACGTGCAGGCGGTGCCGGGCGCGGCGACCGGGGTCGGGGCGCCGGCCGCCGCCGCGCCGATCACCGACGACGTGCGCCGTCGCATGGCCGAGCAGCTGACCGCCGTCTCCGGCATGAACGTCGCCTGGTCCGTCAAGTGAGTGTTATCGGCGGCGGCGCAGGAGGAGCGGCGTCGGTCGGGCGTCGGGCGAGCATCGGATCCGGTCCCGCCAGGCCGGCCGGGCTCCGGCGCCGGTTACCGACGGCCTCGTCAGACGAACGGACCGCGCGGTCAGGGCGGGCCTGTGTGTCGCCCGCTGCAGGGTGTGAGGGGAGCGGGAAGGGTCGGATTCCCGTCAGCGAGTCAGTCTGATTTCTCAGCAGCCATTGCCAGCTCTGCAGGCTGCGGCCGGCAGCGGGTGCGGCCCCGGTAGCATGCGCTACCCTCGCCTGTCCACTGACGCCGTCCGCCCTCTCGCACCGCAGGTGCCTCGAGGAGAATGCCTACAACTACGAGCGCGCCGTCCAGGTGTTCGCCCAGCTGAAGCAGGAGAACAAGGTGCCGCCCGAGGCGTTCCTGCCCGCCTGAGCGGCGCGGGCCGTGCCGAGACCGTGGCGTCGGGGTCCTCCGCCGGGTCCGCCGTGTGGTCTGCTGTGACGCCTGCGGACCCTGGACCTACTGCGTGGCCGTGTCAGGGTCCGCCGTGCGACCACCAGACCCAGCTGTGAGCCTCGGGCCGCCGCTGGACACCGAGGCTTTCTGCTGGTGCTGGCCGGTTCGCCGGGCGTTACGGGGTGCCGCTTATCCGCCGACGCCTTCCTCGCTGATGAGACCGGCCGGTCGGCAGGGAACTGGAGCGAGCCCCGAGAAGCGGCTGTCAAGTGCCTGTGACTATTTGTCCGGAGGAGGACCGCGCGCGGGAAGAGGGAAGTGTGGAAGGGTGGGCACGTCGAGGGAGCGGGTGGGATAGGGAGGAACGTAGAGATTTGAAGTGCGGTGAACGGACCTTGTGGCCCAATAGCTGCACTCTGGTGCAGAGCGGGCTATCTGTTGGCGTGTTTTATGTGAACTGCGTGTAGAGTGACTGGCATGGTAGTTTTCGTTGCAGTAGCTTTTAGCGTAAGTATTGTGCCTGTTGCGTTTTAATTTACTTTTGGTGGCATGCCTTTCAGTTCACACCCGTTCGGTACGTCTCCCGGTGCCTGTACATTTGTACATTGTTCGTGGACGGAGGCGCTCCACGTTTGAAAGTTCGCATTTCGCCGCGCGTGCATGCGACTGTCTGTGCCCCAAGCCGTCAGCCGCTGCGGGGACTCTCGGCCACTAAATTGCCGCGCGGCCGGCTCTGGTGCGCGCTGGCGCCGTCGGCGCTGCCGCGGTCCGTCCATGGTCCCTGGACTCCGAGACTGGGGCAGCCGTGAGGGCCGGCCAGAGGGGCGGCCGGTCCGGGCTGGGCCGGACGGAGGGGGCCGGCCCGCCCGACAGACGGCAGAGGCCGGCGGAGGAGCACCGGCAGCCGGGCCGCTGAGAGCGGGCGCCGCCGGACGCGAGGCTGGCCCGGCGGACGCGCCGCTGCGGCCGGTGCTGGGCCGGGCTACGGCAGCTGGGCAGCCTGTACGGCGGGAGGCCGGCTGACAGGCGGCGCCACCGCCGCCGCCGGCTTGCTGAGGGACGGAAGCGGTGCGCCGACATGTCGGACGCTAAACTGGGGACGGACACCCGGTAATGCGTCTGTCGGCTCGACGGCACAGACATTCGCAGGCACGCGCGGCTCGTGTTTGATGGTTTGTGTGTGGGTGTAGGTGAAGGGGGGGGGGAGGGGGGTAGCCATGTGTGTGTGCGGTTTGATTTGTCCGCCTACCACCGGTGATAGGCACGCACCTGGTGTGGCGCGTGTCTGGCCACTGCCACGCCCTCCGGACGGAATAATTGTGGCCTTGGTGACCAGCTTGCTGGCCGCAGACCCCCGTGTGGCCGACGCCAACAAAGCGGTCACGCCGCCCACCGCCGGCTCGCCGTCGCGCCACGGCATTCGCTGCGGCCGCCGCGGGTCAGCGGCGGTGCCGACTCGACCCGCTGCCGACTCTCGGTCCTTGAGGCATCACACTAACGCGACAGGACGAGATCCGGGGCTCGCCTCGTGTTACGATTGCCGTGCCGTGAGATTTCACGACTTTCGAAATCGAAATTACCAAATCTGATCCCGGCCTGCATTGCCCGCCGGTTGAGCCGGTCGACGTGACTGTGGGCAGGTGCAGGGGGGAGGGGGAGCGGAGGACGCTCAAACGTCCTGGCCGTGTGAGCCCGGCGGGTGTATCACATTCCTGCCAGAGACGGGCTGGGCCGCCGTGCTCACGAACTGGTGCTCGGCCCTAGGCTGCGCGATGGTGTGGAGCACATTTCCGTGTGTAAGGACAGTCGTGCTTATTACTTTAGCATTTCGTGACTGGCTTGCGACCGCTTACACTTCGGGTTTTTTCTTGAATGATCTTGTATTTGTGGGCGAAAACAAAGTTTCTGTGTTAATGTATTGGGGGGAGGGGTTATCGTCTAAGTATGTATGGGCTCCTGTTCAGACAAAAATGAAATCGATACTGCTTTGAGCATTTTGTGTCGGCCGCTGTAACAGCTAACTACAATTACTACAACTACAACAACTACAGCTGTCTGCATGTATGAAAATGTTTCACCAGTGGTTCGGGACCCTGGGAGTCTCGACCCGGACAATGTACTTTGAAACGGTGCGTGAAACAGACCTCGTGTTTCCCTGAGCAAGGCGCCGACCGGTCAGCTCCGCTTCGGTGGCGTGCGGCGCAGCTGACCGACCTGCCTGGGGGATGGGGGAGCGGTCTAGCAGCCCGCTTCGCCGTCGGCGATGGCCTGCCGCAGCAGCGCCGTATACTCGTACTGCGCTAGCCGCTGCTCCTCCTCCACGCGCTGCATCTCGGCCAGCTCCAGGTCCAGCTGCTCCTGCGTGAAGTGTCGGAAGCGCAGCAGCCACTGCGCCAGGAACTGGATCGGGTCGCTGGGCCTCTTGCGGCACACCTGTGGCGGGCGGGCGCGGCCGGTCAGGCGACGAATGGGAGCGTGGGTTTGGGTGTCGCGGGCGCCTGCCACGCCCGCTCTGGGCGTGAGGTCGGTTTTCCGCACGAGGACGGCACGCGCGCACTCGTCCGCGTCTCCGCCGCGTCAGGCAGCGCTCATCGCGCGTCGTACACGCAAGTCAGCACTCCGTAGCTGATCGGTGATGGGAGCTATGCTGGGGCCAGGACTGAGAACGTGGTTCTACTGACCTCTGCTAGGCCGCACGTCAGAGCAGTCCCGAGCTTCTCACGCAGGTAGCGCGACTCGTCTCCCAGAACGGAGGCTGATTCTAGTGGCATCCTCAAGAACTAAAGTCGACAGACAATCCGGCGTTTGGTGTGGATGGTGCGGCTGTTCAGCACGTTTCAGCGGGCCGCCGTGGCACGAAACAGATAAAAGCACCGTTATCGCGTTCTCTTGGTTGAGGCGAAGAAACTATGGATTGAAATATATTCCAAGGCTGGGTGCCAATACTGAGTGGGATGTATGTAACTAGCAACTGTGGCTTTCTAGACGGGCCTGGTTTGAGTAAAACATCACCGTTTCATGTAAGTCTGGCGCAATTCGCTCAATAGTTCAGAAGGATTCGCGCACCGTCCCAACGTTCACTGGTGATAAGTTCGATCAGTCACAAAAGTGAATCGGCTGTATAATGTTCACTGCGTTTGATCCGTTCTGCTTTAGTTGAATGGTACTTGAAATTTCGTCGGTGTCACGTTGTGTTCAGTAAGAGAACTCGCGTGTGGCAGAAAAATTTGAAGAGTGGAAAGGCTTAGATGGCCATGGCTCCTCTGCCAGCATCCGGCTGCTGCCCTGCTAAACTAGCCCAAATTTCTGGGTTTAGATGTTTGCATCCTGCTCCCTATGACGTTCCGTCCACACTGACGTTGGCCCGAATGACATTCATGCAATTACCGGATGTGATACTGTTCGGCTGTTCCGTGTGCGCGGATCGCAGCAGCCGTGTCCGCCGGCAGCAACATGCCGTTCCTCTCCCATTACGACCGCAAACGCTCTGGTGTCCTCGGAATGTTGTCGCCCAGCCGAACATGGGCCCTTGAGCCCGGCAGCGCGATGCCATCCAGTGGACACGCGTATAGGCGAGGTCAAGCATTCAAGGCGAGAGATCACGCATGGTTCTCAGTCTGAGGATAAACTCTTCTATGTGTGGAGAAGTGTCTTTAAACGCCTGTTGACATCAATTCGTGCGTGTACAACGGTCTGGGCGTATATTCCACCAGTGCTATTTTGAGATTGATGATAGGAACGGATTAGTATTTACAGCGCCGCGAGCTGATGCTGGAATCTGGTGGTGGAACTAAAAGACTGCATGAATAATCTCTATATTCCTGTTGTAACTATCAGTCTGTCAGGGGACATCCTAAAACCTCTGGGTGAAACCGTAATCTCAGGCTGATCTATTGATGGTACAAATTGCTTCTGAAACACTTTCGGAAGCATTATTTAACGTCAGCCGTTCACGCGCACCCGGCGCCCACCGCTTGACGTAATTTGCAGCGGCCAACGCCGTTCGGTTTTACGGAGACTGCATCCAGCTCTTGCTGTTCTTGCTCCTAAGATGCAAGTGCGCAGGTTCAAAACCTGTTCGTAGTTTGTTGCGTTGATCGAGCCTGCAAGAGAGTGGACATCCGCAATCGAACGTGGATTAGCTCTGTCATTTTAGACCAAGTTTTGATCCACCCTTGAACACTTATGAGACCGCTGACCTTTTTCCGGGAGGTGGGCCCGTCCGTATATAGAACAATAGGAACTATACTATCGTTCTCGGCAGAGGACTGATGACTATTTCGTCCCACCGCGGTTTGCCTACCGGCTGCTATCCTGGCAGCACAGGGTAGGGTCCCCCGGTCAATCATGAGGCCCTTAATAGGGGTATACAACATACCTTAGACCCCTTTCTGACGTGAGAGGTCCTCTGACCCGGACAGCTGGCCCCGGATCAACGCACGAGCCCTCATTGACGCAGGAAAGTTCCTTGTCGTCGTAGGTAGTCCAATAATTGGCACCAGTTCCACCAGTCCCAGTTCCAGTTCCAGTTTCATTTAGTTCCAGTTTGGCTTAACGGTTTTTTTTTGTTGAAATAGGATAGACGGTATCCCGTTCGGCACTGGGGCCTTGACTGACACAGGGCCCTTCCATTGTCTCATTGTGGACTCCATCACACGTTCTCACCTAATATTTTATTGTTAGAGGGTCTCGACCAACGCAAGAGGCCAAGGGCGCAGTCACAGCCATGGCAATGGGGGGGGGGGGGGGGGGGGCACAGGGTTGACAAAGGGCCCCTGACAGTGAAAGCCCCCCCCCCCCCCCCAAAAAAAAATCGCCGGACATGACCCATTTGCTATTAAGGACATGTTTTTCTTACACACACACGCACGCACGCACGCACGCACCGCGCAGCGTCGGTTTCCCAGACGCGCAGTGGTTAATGCAGGCGCGTGAACCACTACACCATCGGCGTCCGGCGCGCAGAACGTTCAAATGTTTCGATGGTGTTTGTTTCAAGCTCGCTTCTGCAAAATGATGAACCTTGTCAGGGAAACACGGGATAGTCTTGCGCTTTTTGGACCTATTTCGACCCTCTACATTCAGTACTAATGAGACAGACCTTTTTCCGGTTAAGGGTCTCGATTGGGCACAACACTACGGGACAGACTGTTGTTTCTGATCAAGAGCTGGAGGGTCATTTTGCCCCAGTGGTGGAATGTGTCTTTCGGAAGTTTTTTTGTCTCCATTTCCAGTGTCTTTTCCAAAAAGCGTCACCGACGAAATTTGGAACCGTCTAAGTGGTGACCAGGATCCACATATTTCAGGAAGCATTGCAATGGAACTCTAACTACGATAAACCACAAAAACAAAGACAAAATAAATGAAATGCGGCACAGCCACCGAACATTCTCGTTTCGGGAGTTCATTTGCAGCAAAGTATCGTTTACTGGCCATCAAACCCTGAATGATGGCTGAGACTACACTAATAAAATCATCTTATAAAGACATAGTTGACATAACCAACCTAGAGGCGTTTAGCTTCCTTTCCATTTGAGAGGACGGGGTTTGTGCCTTCGAACCATTTATGAAAGCTCCTATTGTTGGGTAGCATTTTCATCCATTATGTTTACTACTCATAACTTTTGGGTTTACTGATCAAAGTGCATTTCGGAGGAAGGCACGGCAATTTTTTCTTCTGCACCCTCCTCCCCCTCCCTCTCTCACCCCTACGTATTTAGAAAAACTGCATCCCTTTAGCCCTACCTTGCTCGATAAAATGGCTCTACAAGAGCCTGGAGACAACATTACTTTTGGTTTTGTCACGCCATCGTACAATCAGCTGGAAGCGTTGGCAGCCTTCACTATGGGCATAATCGCTACCGGTGCAGAACTCGCCCTTCGCAACATGATCCCAACTATTTAGATCAAAACCCACGCAATTTTGTATCAACGGATGCAAACAACATATTTAGAAACCCCTAACATCTTCATTTATGCAATATGACGAGAATTAAAAGCGTTTCATCTCACGCGTGTCCACCCATCAGCACGCTAACTCTGAGGTGCAACAGGTAATGTGAGAGGTCTACACCAGCGATACTCGGCCTCCTGTCTCAAAGCCGCTGTTCCTCTCAGCAGCAGGAAGCCCCAGATGAATCTTTGACGTGTGTCGCTCCAAAGTCCTCTGTTTATCGCTGCAGGTACAGCTCAGGTGTCCACAAACAACAATCCTTCTCGATCAGCAGGGTGTTCTAACGCTATTGCGTTAAATGCTATTACTAAAAAACTGACGATTAGCTACGTTCTTCTTGCCAGTGAGCTCTCCTCACGACATGAACACGGCCAACAGCATCTCACAGCCTTGCATTGAACCCGCTGCGTTACCGTGCGGCGAGCACTCGCGCGCCATCTGTCTCACATGGCTTTGTGGGCCAATGCAAGGCCTCTGTTTTCCTCGACGGGCCTAAAGTCACTTCTGAGGCGGGGGGGGGGGGGGGGTTTCTTCCGGCATAAGGCCGGGCAAGGATTACGTTAAACTGGCTTACGCTGTCCGGCGCAAAGCAAGGGAGGGGTTATTTTGAAGTGACGTTAGGTTAACCCGGCTCATTTTTGTCCAACAGGGTCATAGCGAGTAAAGCAGACCGCAGCAAAAGATATACTTATTTCATCACGACGCAACACGCATTCAGTACGCTTGAACGACAAGTGAGCTTCCCCACCCGCCCTTCCGCCAGACTTCTCGGGTGACGCGAGTCCTGTGTATGGTGTCCGCGTCAGCGGTGTTAGCGGCGGCATTACCTCAGCTGACCTGTCGGCGACGTGTGCGATGGATGGATGCCGAGCCGCTTCATCACAGCAACGGGGAGAGCAGTCCCGGGCTCCGCCGCCCGGCACGATTTTGTAGTGCTGTGTGATGTTATTGAGTCCTGGAAAGTTCTCACTAAGAAAACCAGGACTCCTAGCCAATAGGGAAGACCCTGCAACTTTACCAAATCATGCAGGAAAACCCGTTATTTAAATGAAATCATCTAATCCTGTACTGTGTAGAAACTCAAAGAGTAGAACTAGCAAATCGGGATAACAATCACCGTGGAGAGAATGGAGGTTGAATGGAAGCCGACTGGCATTGGCGTAATTGATGAGCGGTTGCCTTGATCGTTGATATACCGGACACACGAGGAGGAAATGATTGATGGTGAATGGGATGTCGCAGCGATGACAAGCGGAGGGGAGTGTGCTCGAAAAGATGGTAGTGGATGATTTTGGCGTGACCGATACGCAGTCTGGCGGCACTTACCTGAGGCGACTAACTTGATTAATTATCGGCTAGTGCTGAAAGTGATGAGCGTGTTGATCCCATTCGGATTGGAGGAATAGACGAAAATGTGAACTGATGACTTCAAGAATACCAGAAACGGGATAATGAAGATGGTTATGTTCCGGAAACATGGGAGTTTGTTTTGCTTCCTCGTCAGTAGCGTTGTGTCCACGAATATTTACGTGTCGAGGTATCCAGAGGAATATTACGTGAGTTTGTTGAGGAAGGGAGCAGAGCGTTCGTCGTGTGCATTTTAGAATTGGGTGGGATGAATTATGCAGAGTGATGAGAGCTTGTAACTACGGATGAGAATCGGTGCATATGACTATCCTTTGTATGATACCTTGCTTAATATGGAGTAGAGCTGCCAGAATTGCTGTTAGTTCAGCCGTATACACAGTATTGTAATTTGACGGCGGTTTGATTTGTGGTTATTATGATGCTCGAAGGCATCCCCTGTGCGGCCATCGCGTCGGGAGCCGTCGATATGAAGGTGTGCTGGTCATGTTCTCCTTTGAACTCAGCAAACAGTGCATGCACTTCGGTTTCTGATACGTTTCGTTTTTTATGTTAAAACAGAAAGATGACGTTAGGTATAGGGTCGTCTCAAAAGGGTCGAGGACTGGGAGTTGGGCTGCACGGGATGTCCGAGAGATAAGCGTTCGCTGCGCTCGAATAACGCGAGTGCTGTGTCCTCAGAGCAAGCGAGAAGGACCTTCCCCAATATGGGGGGGGGGGGGGGGGCTACACGATGCGGAGTAAGTACCCCGTCACACTAACACATGGAGCCCAGTCAGAGCACGGGGCTCCCTGAGCAAAGGAAAATAACCCAAGACCAGTGTACGGGAGTTAATGCCTCCGATCGAGAGCGCCCGGGCAGGTAAATAGAAAAGGCCTAGACAGGACTCGAGGGTCCTCCGCAAATGAGCTCACAGTGAATGGGCTCTATATCGATGTAAGGGGTCCCTGAGCATCGGGTGCCCCGATGCGTTTCTTAACATTGGCTCCAGCAACAGCACGGGGCCCTCCGAGCCAGTGGAAAGTACCCGATACCAACGTGGAGGGTCTCTGAACAACCGTGTGTACCCCGTCGCCTGAGACCCCGGCTATAGCGCATATATGCATATATATATATATATATATATATATATATATATATATATATATATATATATATATATATATATATATATATGTATATATTTAACCATTCGAGCGAATATGAGGAGTCCGTGGAGAGCCTTTCATATATCTAGAGTGCCGAGGTGAGTAATTAGATTGAAGGACCCTACTTTGGTAGCACCCTACATTCAAACAGAAAGTACCCAGGACCCATAAGGACAGCGTGGAAGGCTCCTCAGCAATCGGATTTACGCCACAAGGGAAAAAAGGGTTCGCAGAAACAACGCAGGTCTCTGTACACAATGAGCCTTAGAACATCTCAACCACCGCCCTCTCAATCAGTGAAGAGCTACTGGTGTCTGTTCGTGCGCATTTCACTTCGCTTGCGACTGTTCGTGGTTGCCTGGTAGCCCAAAGGCGTCCAATTTTGCTACCCTTTGTTATAACAAAATTGCGGCAGCTCGGTCGGCTATGGCTCCTTCGGAGCTTATGGGCCCTTTGGCATGGCCCACGCTCTCTCTGGATCCGCCCCTGACCCCTATACGTGCTACTGTTACTCTCATCAGCAGCCGACGACAGGTAAAATGCCTCCCAACTCTTCTGTGGGTCGCGGAGAGACCAGCCAACAGTCAACTCCCGAAATTCTGTAGGAAGTGGCTAGGAATTATCTAGAAGAACCATGGGAAGTGGGAGCTTTATTCATCGGCCATAGCAGCTGCCTGCTTATTGCGAAGCCCGTAGGACTTCCTCCATCGCAACCGCGAGGACCTGTTGCTCTTCGTACCGAGCAGGTCTTTCCCCATCGCTACTAGCGAGAAGTCTAGTTGAAGTAAAGCATATGTGACGCATTAAGTCGGTCGCGATGAAATTATCCCTTCAACTCATGAGCAAATTGCCAGTCGTCCTCAACACATTAAGCGAGGTAAATAGGTTGATTAAGTAATATGCACCTAACTGCGACGCGTCCTGCATTCCCGAATAAAAAGGCCGCACATTATTCATTGGTCTGTTTTTTTCCCGGATGCTGCTCAATGAAACTCATTAAGGGATGTCATGCAGGGGCTAGCACGCGACTCAAAACAACACCACGGCAGCACATTGCTATATTAGGTGGGCTGATTAGAACAATATAATACTAGCATGACAGAGGCTCACGAAATACAACGGGTCAGGAATAATGTGTGAATACGAATTTTAAAAGAATATTCTGACAAGCATTGCTTTCCTTAATTTACATTAAATCCCATGCAGGATAAAGAAGTACGGTGGGGCCAGAGACCTGAGCGGCCGAAAGGTCGGCGACTGCTCCGCCGAGCTTACATAAATAAAGAGACGTGGGCAACGCGCGGCCAGCCGTGGGTGTGCGCCAGGCCAGTCGAATGAAAATGCGAATCCGGATGAATGTCAAATGAACGAAGGTCGTCCTTTGACTAGGCTGGTGTGCCTTTCATCGATGCCTATCATTTCTTTATATCATTGGCGCCATTAATGGCAGCGGACCTATCATATCGGCCGCCCATCCTTGATTGCTCGGCGCACATGTCCGGGGTAATTGGCCGGGCCAAACGTTGCAACGAAGTTGCTCTCGCGCACCAATTTTTTTTTTAAAGTGGCCGCGGCGGATGCACACGCTGCGCCACAGAATTGAGAAATATATCGTGGTTATATATTGTGTAAATCCAGCTTTCTTTTGTTGTGGGACATGATAAGACTAATAGTGTTTTAGCAGCGCCTTCCCTTACTGTGAGCTGACAGATGTGGCGCAATTAAAACCATATACGGCGCAAACAGCGGTGCTTGATGTTAATGTAAGCTGAAAGGGGTTAGTAATTTGGGTGAACGCGGAGGAACCCATTTATTATTGGTGTCCGGCACAAACAGGTGAGTTGTCGTGTTAGCAGTGGTCGTGGATGTGTAAAGCAGACACTGATACCAGAATTGTTGCTTTTGCCTTGGATTACGGTTCAAAAGAATGCAGACCCGCGCCGGAGCGTACAAATAATCCATCAAGTGTGCTTGATACGCGACGTCGGTGCCCTGAACCTCGTTAGATAGCCTTGCCCTAAACCTCGCGCTCGTGTGCGATAAGATCAGGCAAGGCCAAATTGCATTGAATTTTCAAGTTGTTACACATGAAAAATGTTTCCATGTTTGTTTGCCTGTAATTACCTTCTGATCATTACAATTCCCTGAAACTAAAACTGGCTCTCTTTTGCTAGCATTGGTGGTAACTGGGTGCAAAACTCCTGGTGCTCAGATTGCCAGTGTACATGCACTGATTTTGTGTGGTGTTGCTGATATGCCAGACATGTTTGGTAGCATGTGTATTCACGGCAGTGTGGTGTGCCAACAGTAATGTATGCTCCATTGAACCATTGAGGTTGCTAACTATTGCTCACTCATGACCAGGTATAGTTCTTTTGTTGGGATATATCTTGCCTGTTTGATGCAATATGTACACCAGTATGTGAGTAAGTTTTTGATCTGAGTATGACTTAACCAGATCACTATTTCTCAAAACTAATTTTCCATGAATCCTTAAGATAGATAACAATGAAATCAAAAGTGCCCTAGACAAACTCTAGTAAGCTTCACATACCTAGTATCTTAAATTCCAGACCTAAAAGAACATAACCTTAAGCCTGGCTTGCAGGTTTCTGAGATACACAAAAATATAGAGCCTACTTTGGGGCATTTTTGAGCAGTCAAAAAAATGATTTTAGGAGAACAATCCAAATATTTTTATTGGACAGATTTGTTTTTAACCACTTAAAATGGCCACTTGCAACTTAAACATGCAAGTAAACTTGTGTTAGACACCCATCTATTATGACTGTGCCATCTACATCCATTTGCAATAGGGTTGTGATGGTTGTAAGTGATTCATATAGCATAGTGCAGAATATGTAACATATTTTTGACATCTACTTTAGTACATGACTATCACTAGTATTCTTTGTTGTGCAAACAGGGGTGGTTCAGTAATGTTTCTATGTTACTCACATGCTATTTGTATTTTTCAGGTTTTCAACCATGGTTGACCAGAGAGGTAAGCGTTTTTATCATTTAAGCTTTGTCAAGCTTTAAAGGTGCATTGGTGGTTCATACCTTTAGGGTGTAAAGGGCATAAAACCCGCAGGGCAATGCTCTGTACCATGAAGGATAAACTGTTTCTGTATAAATAAACAGACATGGTGGCATTTCAGGTATGTCTGTCCATGCTCAGGCTCAGTGACTAAGACAAGAGGTGCCTTCTTCTACTTTTGTATGTGACACTTATCCCAAGATCAAGAAGACTCAGATTCAGGTGTTCATATCTTTTACTATGTAGATATAGCTTAGCAGCCAAAGCCACAGTTCAAAATGAGACCAGCTCAGTCCTAGCTCATCAATGCAAAATAAAATGATATTGACCCAAGTTTTTATGCCTGAGTTTGTGAGCTTCACACTTGGTAGCATATACATGATAAAATAAAGAAATCATTCCAAACTCACAGGTTATCAGGTCTGTGATATCTCCATTGTAACTACAGTCTATGCTGAGCCAGTCTCTGTGGCTCAGGGGCTCAGAGCTTTGGGGATCAACTCAGCCCTCCATTCCCAGTTCTTTCCAGAGATGTTCTTCCAAATGTTAACTGAGTCATCTAAAATGCATCAATGCTGTGTTTTATGCAATTGAGAGACAAATTCTGAGCACAATTATTGGTGCACAGTTCATGCATATGTATCAAACACACCAAGCAATAATCAGATGACCTTGAAATGCAACAATATTCACACACCAAAATAAATCGTTGCTTTAAAAAAAGAGAAGAAGTGTTGATCATAGATCATTGAACATTGGCTCAACAATGCTCACAAAATTATTTAGTATTTGCAGTGTGCTGCTCCTTCATTTGTATGACAAATGCTTGGACCTTTCCAGATGCACTTGGTACATCATGGCACGACAGCACATGGATCCCTATTCTCAGTGCCAACAATGTCATGGACTACTTCGCGGAGCGCACAAATCCGTTTTACGACCGCACGTGCAACAATGAGGTTATCAAGATGCAGCGCATCAACCCAGACCACCTGCAGTAAGTTCTGGAGGCTGAGAGCATGGATAATCATTGATTGAAGACAAGAATGTGATTCTGCAAAGTTCTTGTCACCTAGTATTGCCTGACCATTGTAGCTTTGGCTAACATAGATGACCAATTGACCAGTAAGGTATTTGATGTTCCCAGGTCATCACATGCATGCCTGCTGGAGTCTGGTTGTCTGGTTCAGGGCCGCCACGCGCACACGTCACTCCCGCCGGCCCGCCACTGTTCGTGCACTGACCGGTCGTCCCCCGCGTCTCGGACCCTGACCGCGCTGCCCCGCGCCTCGCCGCCAGTAACCTGGTGGGCCTGGAGTACACGCTGCTGCACGTGCAGGAGCCGATTCTGTACGTCATCCGTAAGGAGCACCGCCACTCGCCCAACCAGGTGACGCCGCTGGCCGACTACTACGTCATCGCCGGCAAGGTGTACCAGGTGCCTGACCTCGGCTCCGTCATCAACTCTCGACTGGTGGGTGGCAGCGCGCGCCGGCCGGGCCGCACGTGCCCGCACTGTCAGCCGATGTCGCAGAGCACCAGCCAAGGGACGTGCGAGGCGTTGGCCAGGCTGGTGTGGCAAGTGGGCTCCTATGTAACGGCTTAAAACACTACAGTCCTGTCGGGGTAAAAAGTCGGAGACAAACCATCGGTTGAATCAGAAATGCACGTCCCGAGTCGTGGGATAGAAGTGGATAAAAGCACAGAGTAGCAAGCCAAAAGAAGCAAGACGCACATCACAGCTTTTGGCGCTGTTTTGACATGTGTGTTACAGGGCTTTCATTCCTCGCTGTTACTGAGGTTGGGGATAGACAAGCTCTGCAAATGAATTGTATCGAAGTGACCAATAATGTTGCAGCTGGGATGTTTAATTTTGGTACCGCTCAACTGATGAAGTGTTAGACCAGCTGGAACAAGCCAAAGAGCGTCGTATCGCATGCTTTGAACACCTCTGGCATGTGCCCATGTACTTCGAAATCGTAAAAGGGAAATAGCAGGCTCCTCACGACTGCATTCGTTGAATGGTTAAGGGATGATGGTGGCGTCGAAAATCGGCAGACGCATACTGTGATACGGAGTGCAGAAGAAGATGGGCGTTTGGTCGACATGTACCCAACTGCCGCAGTCGCATGTTCATTGCTAGTCTTTTTGGTAATGTCACCAACTTGGCAGGTTCCGAACGTTCGTAAACGGAGCCGGAATCGTTGGTCATATCATCGTATGCAGTGAACGGCGAAACCCAGTGAATAACATAAGGGTGTACGTTATGCGGAGCTGTCGTTGGCTACAGACCGACACGATGTTCGTTGGTGTTTTCCAGACGTCGGCCATCAACCACCTCCAGGAGGCGTTTGAGGAGGCTCGCTCCTTTTCACGATACCACCCCTCCAAAGGCTACACGTTCGAGTTCAAATCACAGAACGGACAGGTAACACATTCACTTGTGCAGCGTCACATCAGTGTCACCAAGAGTGGTAAAGGAGTTTATGCGAGTTTTAGACATAATCTACATTACATTGAACACAATTTACTCCTTTTGGTCGTTGGCATGCAGTCTGCAGTGTGTTTGTGCTGTTATGGAAGCACTATATGGGAAATTGGCCTACTACTTTTCCCAGATCACTGGTTTGTGCTCTCATGGATCGTTATTACCTTCTGTTAAATTTTGTCTTTATTTTCTATCCACGCACTAAGCCTGGCTTAAGCCTTTGTGTGGCGTTGGCAAAACAGTGCCCCATCCATTAGACTTTGACAGACACGTGACTTTGAAGGACAAATACATGCCATTATCTAAGTAAGTCACCGCCAGCAATGTGATGTGTACGCTTGATTCCGCACGTTCCGCCCGGCGTGCAGCGAATCTCTCCACGCCACCCTCTGCTGTCCCAGGAGCCGGAGACGAAGAAGCGGAAGAAGGAGACGGAGAAGGAGTTGGGCTCGGTGTTCCAGACGCAGCGTGTGGACATGCTGCTGGCGGACCTGGCGCGCCGCTTCCCGCCCAAGGTGCCGCAGCAGCCGCCGCCGCAGCCGCCCGGTGAGCACCGCCGCCGGGACCCACTCAGTCAGTGTCCTGAGCACCGCGGCCGGAGCCCACCCCGCCCATGTTCTGAGCACCGCTGGCCGTGTCTGCGCCCGCTCCGCCCGTATCCTGAGCACCGTTGGCAGGACGCCGGCAGGGCACGTTCGTCCGCGGACCGTGCTGGCATCGGCTGAACTTCTTGCCCTCTCTGTCACGCTCACGTGGCCCTGTGCCGGGATACGGGCGACGTGACTGGGGTGCTGGTACGTCTGTCTACACACGGTGTATACCAGGGGATGGAGAGGGACTTACAGCAGCAAGGCAGAGCTCAGCTGGCGACTGAGACCTGGTCGCCCGCACTTACTGCCGGGGGTCTCGTGTAAACGTCCCTCACCTGCATGCAGGGATGCTGGTGGGGTAAGATCGCATGTCAAAGTCGCGTTGGTTAATTTGTTGTTGTTGGTTTGCTCATACCAGTCTTCTGAAGCTGTTTGAATGTATTTTGTCCCAGGGTTGGCCTTGTGCGCGTGCTGCCGGTCCCGGTCCCAGCGCTTGCAGCCATTGTAGCTTGTAAGCCTGTACAGACCACCCTTTATCGTTATCTTCTCTGGCCATCGATATCCCTCGGTCACTCCTATCGGGGGAGCGTATCGATGGATAGCGCCGCTCTGCGTGGGCGCCGCTCCAGCGGGGAGCGTCACTCCGCGGGGGCGACGGGCCCAGTTTTGCCATTCCACGCGACAAAGCCGTCCTACGCCCCCCAGACGCCGACGTCAAGGCGGAGCCGAAGCAGGAGAAGACCGAGTCGGTGACCAGCGTGCCGTCCCAGGCGTCCGAGGTCAAGGCCAAGGCGCCCCCGGAGAAGAAGCCGCGCCTCGGCTGACCCGGTCGGCCGGGCTTGACGTGACCTCGGTGGCCGCAGCGGGGCTGGTCGGACGCTGACTGGGTCGCCCGCCGGCTGTGGAGGGGCCCCGGTGCGTGTTGGTGGTCAGCTCAGTGAGGTGGGAGCAGGTATGCTCCAGCAAGTGGATGGTGTGTTCCGAGTGTTTTTATACGTGTCTTCATTGTGGTCTGATCTGAAGCTGCCGGCTTGTGGGGAACAAAGTGTGTTAGTAATGTCTCAATTTCGGTGTCCATGAAGTGGAAATCCTTTTCTCAATACGGTGAACAATGTTAATACAGCGGCACAACTACTAGCGCATTTTATTGTGGTTTGGTCGTCTTAAAAAATCTGTTCCTTTGCAGTTTTATTCATCGGATGGTAATTTATACCTGGCTCGTAATTCGTGGATGCATAAACATACAGATCAAGTCCAGGTCTAATACATGTCATACGGATCCCGTGTGCTTGGGAACCTGTACCTTTCTTTACAGCTTCTTGTTACTAGTACTTGGTGGATGTACAAACAGGCTGAGTCCACCATATTAGTGCATTTCGGCAATATCATAGGCAGCCAACTCCTAAGTCAGCCCCTCTCCATTGGGAAGCTTAAAACACCAGATCTCTGGAGGTTGTCGTTGAGCCACGTCGAACCTACTCAGCCCACCCACTCCGGCTCCTCGTTAAGCAAAGTCGCGCCACTGGTACCGTCAACTGTGCTGCCTCGGTGGTGCGTTGGGTGGTGCGCCGTGCCTGATGGCGAGCGTGGAACGCAGTAGATGCATAATACGACAGGGTGGGGTGGCCGGCGTGTGGAAAAGAGCGGCCAATGCGTACTTTTCCTGCGTCGATTGACATACGAGATATTTGTCCAACGCATGAGGTTTTGGCCACATGGTTTGCCGCCGTGTCTGCCGGCGCCCTGGGTGTGTACGTGCGTCGCGATGCATCATAGCGAAGTAAAAAAAAAAAAATGGTGGCGGTGGGACGGCCAGCCTAACACAGCGTTTGTGTTCTGGCCATGTCAGGGGCATGGCCAGCGGACCTTCACCCCTTGCGTCGACTTCACATACCACTATCGGATGAAAGTGGGGGGGGGGGGGGGGGGGGCGATCACGCGGCTGATGGCCATGTGCAGCACAGCTGACCTCGATTCAAGGGCTGACGCCGGCAGGACTTTGTCAGGGGATTGAGAAACGATCGACAAGGCAGCTGATAACAAAAACAGCGATGAACAACAGTAACAAGGCTGGTAATGCCAAAACGAATTGATTAATCGACGGCAACTAATATGGCTGCGGACCCTAGTCATTGTGAATGTCTGTCGCTGGAATGAGCCCGAGTATTATGAGCATATGAGCCCCCTCCCTCCCCCCCGTGACCTTCGCCCCGCCGCTAACCAGAGCCGCGCGGACGTAGCGGCTGACCGTCGCCCAGTCGTGGTCTCGCCCTGGAGCCCTCCGGACTTTGACCGGACCTGGCGTGACGTCATCCGTCTCCGTGCGCCGCCAGTGGCGTCAGTGCTCCGCGGCCGGCCGTGTCGGGCCGACGGAGGCGGAGCAGGGGTTGGGCGCCGACGTCTCGCGCGGCGACGCGGCTTAGCGATGGGCGTGAAGCGGACGATGGGTCTGCCGGGCCCAGTGGCTCTATTGTGCTTCCCCGTGTCTGTCGCGTACAGGACGCTGACCGGCTGCTTCGACACCGCCATGACGGTACGTGCGCAGGGCATAGCACGCGCGAACTGCTCGCTGTGCTCAGCTCTAGCAGCGCTGTGCTGGGCAGTGTCCGTCATTTGGCGAAGTAGCGCGGTAAAGGGCTTTGCGCGCCGTCTTTGGTGCGTAATGCTTTCTGATTTTTGGACGAGATGTGAAGACACTTACGCAACGCTCCGCTGTTCCCCATGTCAAAAGAGAATCGGTATTCGTAAACGCACTTGTCAAGCATCCATTCCACAATTAGCACGCGCCCGGGTGGCCGGCTGGATACCCCTCGCTCGCTTGGGAGGGTCAATTTGACCCTCCTGAGATCTCGGGAACTAAGAAAGCTAGGGACACCGAACTTACAGGGTGTGTTGATCTGTACGTAAACTTACTTGGGTTAAGGTTTCAAGATCCTAGGTCATGACCTCAGGGTCAAGTAAGGTCAAACAAGATCAATTCCCGGTTGGTCTCCAAAGTGCCCCCAGAACCTAGATAACCGTTTCTAAGCAAATGGCCACATGCTCATTTAAGGTCAGTGACCTTGTTTGACCTTTTTAAGGTCATGGTGACCAAAACCATGCAAGAATGCTCTGAATTTTGCATTTGAATAAGCGACAAATACTACGCCAGGCAGTATGTTCCTGAAAACAAAATATTGACGTGGGCCATTTCAGGTCAATGACCTATTCTAGCATCTCATATGTCTATGGAATATGTATAATGCGATTCCTGCCATCAATAAATTGGAAATGGGCACCAGAAACTATCCCATACAGAAAGCCTGAGGGTAACAAAACAGGTTGGTTTCGACCTTCATCTGACCTTTATATCTGACCTTAAGCCGATGTAATTTGCTCATTCAACGGTTGTGTTGCCTAAGAAAGCACCTCAGAGATGTATGGCCTCGTCTAACACTCCGTTGTTGGATCGGATTGAAGGATTCCCTAGAAATTGCATTCGCTGAAACCATGGCCTGACTTTGACCTGCGATAGGTCAGCGACCTTACAAGATACATCTAAATTTTTGATGACAAACGATCCGCTATTCAATTGTCTACAGCTATGTCTACAGCTATGTCGCTTTTGGCATTTCAAGAGCGCCATATGCACATTATCCCGCGAATGCACATCTGTTAATCAAATCAGTAAGCCACTGTAAATGAAGACCTCAGTAAAGTTTACAGCTGTAATGGGATCAACGGGGTCTTCGCCGCCAGCAAAGATTTGCGTTTCAAGTTTCCTCGTTTTGTTTCCTTCGACAGAGACAGAACGCATTATTGTTGGTACATTTCCAAATTGTCGGCGTTTGGACCTGTCTTCCTCTGTCAAATACCAGCATGCTAGATCTTATGCTGATCAGACTCATGGTTGCCATACAATTGGCATATTCTCGATGCCGGCACCGCCGGCTGGTGAGGACGAGAGCGCGTCAGGTGCAGTTGTACTCTTTCAGTCTCGTGTGAATTGTGATAACTGCAGTACTTCGTTGGATGAACCACATCTCCGGGATTAAGGCGATTGAGGTAAACGGTATTTTTAATGGGAAAACGTGAAAACGCGCCTTCCACGCGCGAAATTTGAGGGGACAAAATCTATTTGGTGGGAGACATTTTGTGGAGGAGGAGGCATGCACTTAAAGCCCCTCAGTGGCTACACCCATGGGAGGCACGACATTGCTCTCAGTGTTGCCCTCGCTCGTCGCATTGCCCATCGTGCAGGACCAGAGCTTCACGTAATTAGCTGGGGCGGAGAGGGAGCGAGGGCCGGATATTACAAATACGCTCGGGATATTTGGTGGCGAAGGCTTGCAACACATCTTGACGCTTGCATCTTTCCCTCAGAGCTAGAAAGCTTAGCCTACGCTTCCTATTTTTGATACGTACAATTTTTCTGTTTTGTATAGTTACACCAATTTATGACCTAAGTTACGGATATGGCAAAATGATATGAGTTGCTGAGGCGAATCGCTGAGTTCTCAGGCTACCTGGCGCGGCTGAGACAAAATAATGCGCGCTTGCCTCAATAAATGGGCTTCGCGCCACCGTGCGCAAGTCGGGGCTGTGGATAAACCCAAAGTTCAGAAATTTATCTCAAAACAGAGTTTCTGGGGGGACCGTGGTCTGTGGACGAACCCTCACACGCGGGCAAATGCCGAGTTATATTAGGTTGTGGTCATCGCGGCATTCAACAGGCGTGAGAAGTTGTAACACTGATATCAACTTCTACAAGTAGTTATCATTTTGAAAGGTTGTGGATCACACAAAGATGGACGAAGCGCTTCAGGAATGTTTCTCGAAACTGTCTGAAATTTGTGCATATCTCAGATCAGTAAGTGCAGCTGTTAGTGTGGCATAAGCTGTGGCATAATACAGAATGAAGCTGTGCATAGAAACACTCAACTTACTGAAGCATGCATTCCTTCTCATTCCTGTTCAAAACCAATTTTCCCTTCACTTTGATTAAAGAGAGGAGTACAATGCTTGAAGCTGTGTGCAGCAGTTGATCTGCAATTGAGAAGTTGGGAAACACTATTAGATTGCTTCAAGTTCAAGATGTTGAGGCCTGATGGTACACACAATGGATTATGTTGTCATTAAAAACATCCTTTAGAATTGAGAACATCAGTTTTTGCTTGGCACTATTCACCTGCTTTCTTGCTATTTGCCTCCTGATACACCCTGATGATGCTCTGCTCCAATAGCCTGCTCTCAAGGTCAGGTGATGCTCCTAGCGGAGGATGGAATATGTGAAGCACTACAGCACACTAAGCTTTTGAACACAAATTCTATGATTGATCTGAAATTCTACAGTAGGATGGTGGTGTCAGTGGTCATGCAATGTGGGAAGTGATACAATGATTATTGATTAAAAAGGTTCAGAATGATTTTTGTTGTTTTAGTCATGGGATCAAGACATCAGAATGCATCTGTGGGGACATTGCAATGGTGTAGGTGTACTTTCCTACCTAACGTTAGAAAAAATCATTGCACACCATTCGCCGTGTTCAAGGCGGCACATATCGTAAATTGTCTCAAAACAGGTAGAATCATGCTCCTACCTTCGAATTTCAATAACTTCGATGGCGAGCTCCCGAGCGCCGCGCGCACCGCACCGCCTGGACTCCCCAGCGCCGTTTCTGCGTTGCCGTTGCGTAAATACAACATTTCTGCTTACCAAGAACTCTACAAAATTTACGGGACCAAGGTAAACCATTCGTCGTGTTCAAGGCGGAACATATCGTAAATAATTTCAAAACAGATAGAATCATGCTCCTACCCTCGAATTTTAATAAATACGATAGCGAGCTCCCGAGCGCCGCACGCCCCGCACCGCACTGCCTCGACTTCCAAGCGCCATTTCTACGTTGTTGCGAAAGCACAATATTTCTGCTTATCAAGAACCATAAAACATGTACGGGACCAAGGTAGCAATAATAAAGCAACCAAAATCGTTTCTTATCGAGTTTAGGTACATTTATGAAACACGCAGGCCAGAATAGTCCAGAACATATCCTAACCTAACCTAACCTAACTTAACCCAACCCAACCCAACCTAACCTAACCTAACCTAACCTAACCTAACCTAACCTAACTGAGAATAGACCAGAACCTAAGCTAAGCTAAGCTAGCCTGACCTGACCTGACCTGACCTGACCTGACCTGACCTAACCTAACCTAACCTAACCTAACCTAACCTAACCTAACCTAAGCTAACCTAACCTAACCTAACCTAACCTAACCTAACCTAACCTCCCCACCCTATATCCCCTTCAACCCAGCATCTCATTGGCATCCATGTTCCATGCCATATATAGGTGCCATATAGTGAGCTTTTATTTAGCTGCCATGTTCTCATTTTGCTTTACATTCCCCACCCAATCCCCCTGCAACCCATGGTCCCGTTGGCGTCGAGGATCAAATTTCATGGATTCTTGCTGCCTTGTCCCGGTACATTTTTATGGTTCGCAGTAAATATGGTTTATAGTTATAATATGGTTTATATAGTATAGTTTATAGTTATAGTTATGGTTTATAGTATGGTTCGCAGTTAATATGGTTTATATGGTAAATATGGTTATGGTAAATATGGTTTATGTTTAGTAAATATTTTTATGGTTCGCAGTTAGGTTATGGTTGTCCTGCCTTAAACATGACGAATGGTTTACTTTGGTCCCGTACATTTTGTACAGTTCTTGGTACGCAGAAATATTGTATTTACGCAACGGCAACGCGGAAACGGCGCTGGGGAGTCCAGGCGGTGCGGTGCGCGCGGCGCTCGGGGGCCCGCCATCGAAGTTATTGAAATTCGAGGGTAGGAGCATGATTCTACCTGTTTTGAGATTATTTACGATATATCATGCCTTAAACACGACGAATGGTGTACAATGATTTTTTCTAACGTTAGGTAGGAAAGTACACACTGACCGACATTGCATGCACAGTGTTAACTAAGTTGCTGGCAAATGATAAGATATGGTCAGGGCCAAGAACTCTGTGAGGTAATCAAAGCCAAATCAAAGCCAAGAGGCAATCAAAAGCCAAAGAAACAGTTCTTGGCCTATTGGGCACACTGCAAATTGTTTTATTGTGTTATTGTAAAAGGGGGCATAGCACTTGATTCATGGTGGAGAATTTCCAGTCAGGATATGTTAATGATCCACTTGTGCTAATACAAGGTACAACAATGACACTGCAACACACCATGTAAGACAACATAACATAACCACCAAAGAAAACCACAAGGCTGCCAGAGATAAGAGACTGGGTAAACAGCAATCACCCTCAGTCAACTTGTGAGCTAGAAGTGCAAATTTCATCATTAGTCAGTAGTTTGGTATTGTAAATTAAGAGTACATAATGCATTTCAAGTGTTGTAGGTGCAGTCTGTTTTTGTCATTGGTGCAGGCATGGACAACATTAAGTTTTTGTGCTGTAGCTCCTCTGCAAATAGTACCACAAACTCAGATTTGCTTAGTATGTGTCTGCACATCCTCAGGATATTTTGTGTGTTGTGCAAGCACCTTGTAACTTTTGCCATTCAAAGTCAGGTCAAGACAGCATACAATTATTCAACCTAGATCTGTTGATCTTTGCTTTGATCTTTACAGGATTGATCAACTATAGATGCATCAGGATCTGTAGGTTCACAACCATGTTTTACATTCATGCATGCATTTGTGCATGCCCACACTGCGACCTTGACCCAGGCTCGACCCCACCAAAGTCTGACACTGATTGGCCGGAGACCCTAGTCACATGACCCGCGAGACCAGCAAGCTAGCGCGTAGCACCGGCGTTCGCGGAGCAGGCGGGATGAGCTGCGCAAAAGGTGGCGCGTGGCGCATGCACGTCGCCCACGACAGAGCGCACGGGTACCGTACAACACTCAGGCATACCGTTACATACCGCGGACTTTTGGCCGCGGTAGCGCAGAACACATTACTGAACATCGGCGCAAAACGATCGCGTTAGAGGGGTGATCTGTTGGCTTGATTCCTTTAACCAGTTGTAGTATATAAAATTACGCTTGCAGCAATGTGTGGCGAGAAACCGGACCAACGTGCTCCTCTCGCCCCCCCCCCCCCCCCCTCCCGAATTGTGGACAAGTTTACGCGTATCTTTCGCAGAATGTTACACAAAGCGTAACTGGTGCAAATACGTTAACAATGCATGCAGCCATAAGCTATTGTGTGGTCCTCTGCTTACCACTCAGTGTGATATTGATAAACATACACACAGTTCTTCTCACTGCCAGACTCCATTTCAGACATATCCTGGCAAGATCGTAACCAAGTACGTGGGCAATATCAGCTCGTTCTTGGCCAAATGCATCGTCCTCTGGCTGATATGCACCATCCTGCTGATCTCGTCGGCGGTGCTGTACTTCACATTTCACTACAGCATGATGCCAACCATGCTGGTCAGCTTGCCCGTCCACTTCCAGTTCACGTGAGTCGTTCACATCTCTGTGCTGCGGCAATAGAGTGTACAGGAACCTGAACATGGGATAGTTGCTTCGGGTGTTAGTTGTGCCCGGGGTAGGTGTATCGCGAAACACGATAGATTAGAAGAACGCCGGTAATGTTTTGCTACTTTGTGAGATTCTTTGGCTGTTCAGGTCCCTATTGTATGACTTATCAGGCCGTTAAAATGAAAATGTTTATTAGCCGAGGTGTGGGGAATTTGAATCGATGGAGATAGAGTACTAAGCCACTGTAGAATTATGTGTGTTGTGTGCATGCAGGATGAGTGCACACAAGTGCACACAAACCCTGCGTTCTGCTATATAGCTTTTCATTTCAGTCCATGCTTCTCCAAGCCATTCCGAGCATGTAAACTGGTAACGTTTCATTTCAGCCCATGCCTCTCCAAGACATTCCGAGCATGTTAACCGGTAACGTTTCGTTTCAGCCCATGCTTCTCCAATCCAGAAAGCTGCGCTTATCCCAGAGCGCAGGTCTACCTGGTGGACGGCGGCGCCAACCCCCTGCTGTATCCGCACGTGCACTACACGCTGACACTGGAGATGGACATGCCGGAATCAGACGCCAACAAGAACGCCGGTAAAGCACAGCTCCGTCCGTGGGCCCTGAGGCCGCCTGGTGGCTGGTCTGGCAGCGGGCCAGAGCGCTGGAGTTTGGTGGCTGGACGCTGGGGTCAGTGACCTACACTGACCTGTGACGTGACCCGTGCCAGGTTCGGGCGCGGTGACCAATGAGAGACCGACAGTATCGATACGGGTCATGTTTCGCCATCCGGCCTGCCGTGTTCTGCCATCTGACCCGTTCTGCACTGTCACCTGATGCTCCATTCTCTGTCATTTGGGACACGACGCTCTGTCATCTGAGGCGTCGTGCTCTGCCACGTGACACACCACGCTCTGTCATCTGAGGCTCCATGCTTTGTCATCCGGCACACCACGCTCCGTCTCCTGACCCAAGGCTGGTGCCCGTCGTCCTGACGTGCCGCTCGGCGCCAGCAGGCATGTTCATGGCGCAGCTGAACCTGACCAGCTTCTCGGGTCGGCTGGTGGGCTCGTCGTCGCGCGCCAATCTCCTGCACTACCGGTCGCGGCTGCACCGCGCCCTGCGCACCTTCCTCATCATGCCGCTGCTGTTCACCGACTACTCCCGCGAGCAGCAGACGGTCGCCACCGAGCTGTTCTCGGCGTACTTGGTGCATGAGGTGAGAGCTCGAATGTCGCCCGTGCTTGTCGCTTCACTCGGTGTTGTGCCTCGTAGGCGTTTGGGTCATTTCCTTCCTGCTTGCCTTAAATGTGGTGTTTTTTGGTGGTGATTGTTGTGCTCGGCTTGAAGGGTGTTGCGAAGTGCTGACTGAAAGCTGTTCTGCACGTCATAGAACTATCAAGCGTAGAACAATAACTTAATGTGCACACCAATATGGTTTTGAATTTGTGGAATTGTGTTTTGCGATCCAAAACTAGTTATGCTTTCACAAAGCGTTACAGCTTGTCTTATTCTTCCTGTTATCGGGTTTTTCAGTTCTATGGAAGCGTATTGCTCATCCAATTTGCGGCCAATATGAACCTTAGCTGCAGCGAAAAGGAACTTCCTTTCATGGAATGTTGAAAACAGAGGTGCCCTTTCAGTAGCGTTTCCCCCGATCCCTTCAATGTGTATTCGCTCCGCAATCATCTTCTCATAAACAGCTAAACTTCAACACCATGCTTGTCAGATTATTGTTGAGCGTTACATTCCGGAAACTCCGACCTGTTATCACATATGTAACCACCTGGGACCGTTTGTTGTTCTCGCCGTTAGCGTTGGATTAAAACGCACGAATGCGCGACGAACCGGGCCGTTCCCTGTCCGCACCGGGCCGCTGTAAGTCGTGCGGCGGGGCGTGAGACAACCTCCACGTGCGCTACGCGAGACCACCGTCTGGCAGACGGACCGGCGCGTCGTGGCGCCGCTGTGCGTGTCCGTCTGACGCCCGGGCCCGGCTGTGTCCGCAGGAGCACCCGCCGACCAGCGCCCAGCTGGAGGTGCGCTCTCACGCCGTGCAGCTGTACGCGGCGCGGCTACGCGTGCACGCGCGCCTCACCGGCCTGCGCCGGCTCATGTACCACCACCCGCTGCTGAGCGGCCTCGTCGGCACGCTCGCCATCTTCTGCAGTGTGTCGCTGGTCTTCCTGCTGCTCTGGCTGCGGAACACGGAACTACCCCAGACGGCGAGTGGCGGCACGGACTGGGTCTGTCCCGCGCGGGCAGGGTCTGTTCCGCGGAGGCAGTGTCTGTCCCGCGGGGGCAGAGTCTGTCCCACAGGGGCAGGGTCTGTCCCGCGCGGGTAGTGTCTGTCCCGCGGGGGCAGGGTCTGTCCCATGGGGGCAGGGTCTGTCCCATGGGGGCAGGGTCTGTCCCGTGGGGGCAGGGCCTGTCCCGTGGGGGCAGTGTCTGTCCCGCGCGGGCAGGGTCTGTCCCGCGCGGGCAGGGTCTGTCCCGCGCGGGCAGTGTCTGTCCCGCGGGGGCAGGGTCTGTCCCGCGCGGGTAGTGTCTGTCCCGCGGGGGCAGGGTCTGTCCCATGGGGGCAGGGTCTGTCCCGTGGGGGCAGGGCCTGTCCCGCGGGGCAGGGTCTGTCCCACGCGGGATGTGGCCCGCCTTCTGCGCAGTTCGGCGGATTGCGTGCAAGGCTGATGTCCAGTGAGCTCGGCATGGTGTCGCGGTTGGAATTTCGAAGGTTTATGGTTGCTGTGCATCCGTTATCAATGCTGCAGTGTAGCTTTCGTCTTCATCTGGAAACTGCAGAAGGTGTGGCGTGTGGCCTGCCCCCTGACCTCGACCTGGTGCGGTGTGGCCTGTCCCGTGACCTCTGACCTGGTGCGGTGTGGCCTGTCCCGTAACTTCGGACAGAATGTGATAGGACCTGTCCCATGACCTCCGACCGGATGCGGTGTGGCCTGTCCCATGACCTCTGACTGGGTGCGGTGTGGCCTGTCCCGTGACATCTGACCGGGTGCGGTGTGGCCTGTCCCGTGACCTCTGACCGGGTGTGATGTGACCTGTCCCGTGACATCTCACCGGTTACGGTGTGTCCTGTCCCGTGACCTCTGACCGGGTGTGATATGGCCTGTTCCGTGACCTCTGATCGGGTGTGGTGTGACCTGTCCTGTGACCTCTGATCGGGTGTGGTGTGTCCTGTTCCGTGACCTCTGACCGGGTGTGATGTGGCCTGTTCCGTGACATCTGACCGGGTGTGGTGTGGCCTGTCCCGTGACCTCTGACCGGGTGTGGTGTGGCCTGTTCCGTGACATCTGATCGGGTGTGGTGTGACCTGTCCCGTGACCTCTGACCGGGTGCGGTGTGGCCTGTCCCGTGACATCTGATTGGGTGTGGTGTGACCTGTTCCGTGACCTCTGATTGGGTGTGGCGTGGCCTTGATCTGTGACCTCTGACCGGGTGTGGTGTGACCTGTCCCGTGACCTTTGATCGGATGTGGTGTGGCCTTGATCCGTGACCTCTGACTGGGTGCGGTGTGGCCTGTCCCCAGCTGGCGCGGCTTCGGCGGGCCCGGTCCAGCCCGGCGGCGGTGGACGCCTCACTAGCGGCAGGTACGCACCTCGTTCCCGTAAGATGGGCACCGCACGACCAGCCGACGGCACGCTGGGAGGCATCGGCTTTGTAATCTTATTCTTGCATTTTACGATCTTCTACATTCAGAATCTTCTACATTCTTCTACATTCAGCACTTCAGCCAGGACAAAAGGGGACAGTGAAACTTTTTGGCGCTTTTTTGGTGATCGCACATGGATGTCACCCGGCAGGATAGCCCGTGGAAGTCAGGTTTGATGTCAAGTTTAGGCACGGTGTCGTGTGTGAAACGATTTGATCATGTGGGGGCTGGAGATGATGACATGTCAACAAATGCTCACTTTCATTGACCCGACGTTCTTACAAACTATAGTGTCGAAGGAATCCTTTAGACAGCCAGGGGTGCCTTGCATCCTTAGGCACAAACCTTACACCGCAGGCTTAAGCGAAGTAACGCGCAAACATCTGCCACCATATGGCCATTTTTGTATCGTATGGACTTAAAATCGAACATGACGGTGGCAAGGGTAAAGAGGATCGGTGCAAAGAAAAGACTCAAATCACTGCCGTGCCTGGTGATCCGAAAAGAGGAAAAACGAACATAGGCCGCCAGTGTCCTGGTTTATTCAAAAGTCTGACGTTCAGAAAGCTATGCTGCATAGCTTTGATTGGTGGATATTGTAATGTGGTGTAATGGCACTACATGGATATCGACATAAATTTAATTCAAGACGTCCAAATTGCAAGGTTTGACATTGGGTGAAATGCGTTTACAGTAACAAGGAATGCGTTTTGGTATGTGCTTTCGACAGCGCCACCAAGCCGTGTAGTAATTTGGGCTATTAGCATGTCTGCGGACAATTTGTGTCTTTACCATGCAAATGCTCTCTGAAGGCACCCGACAATTTGGCAAGAGTGGTCGTAATTACTGGTATTAACTGATATTGACTGATATTTTGGTGCACAGATGTGGGCGGAACAGACGAAAAATCGTCTTCATCAAAGAAGTCGTCTGAACTGGACAAAGGTCAGGCGCCAGACGATGAAGCCCCAGAACTGGTTTACTGTCCCGACGGTGCTGCCACTGTGGAGGAGCATACGACAACTTTGGAGTGTGGCGGCCGCCGTGAGATGTCGCCGCGGACGGTTGTGGCCAGTGCTTCAGCGACGGCTCCGGAGCCGGACGAGGGTCCCAGACTGCGTGTTCTCAGTGGACCGACCCGATGATGAGAGGGCAGGTGCGGCCCGGGGCGATGAGGGTACAGACTGCAGCATACCTAGGGCCGCTGGCTCGAGCGCCGTGGGCTGCCCCCGAGTCGGCGGCCGGCGGCCAGTGAGCCTGCGTGAGCTGGACGCCCTGGTGCTCTGAGGTGCCAGCGGCGAGGCCGCCACCCGTGCATTGACAAGGCGTGGCTATGAGCAGCACCCAGCATACCGTACAGTCCGCTGCAGTTACCAACATGCCATGCAATCGTACCACTAAAACCCAAAGCAGCACCATCAAAATATAATGGCCGCTGTCAACTGCCAAAAAACTGCCAAAAAATTACAGTATGCAGAGCGGTTGCGGTTGCGGACTCGGCACACCTGCCTGGAGATTTGCCGCAAAACGTTCGCATGTTTGAAATTTGGATGTTCGAAGTCAACATTTTCCACAGTATCCAAATTTGTGTGGGAACTGAGCACGTAAGCTGAAAATTACGTCTCAATGTGGACTTGGCCATCGCTGGTGCCCTCCTTTTTATGGGAAGCGCCCATGCTCTGTAGGCTAAATTGCCATTTGTAAATGAAACTCTCTGTCTGTATCCATTGGTCTTGCAGCACAGATTAGCCATCCGCGGTCTCCATCTAGGTGTACCTTGAATTGACACTAATCGGTCATACCCCGGCCCCTGAGGCTGTGATCAGCCTTGTACACAAGACCCGGCCAGGCTGTCGGGTTTTGCGCCGGATGCTCACCAGGTCACGCGATCTCGGTACGTCACCCGTAGGCTCCGTTCGCTCCGTGTACGGCACGTGGGTGTTGACTGTCGACCCACAGACCCACAGACCCACAGACCGTGGGTGTCGACCCACAAACGTGACTCACAGCTCGGGTCACACATTTCCAAGCAACGTGAAATCCACTGTGAGGGCCTGCCCGTCGAGAAAAAAGCTGCACATGAGACCCAAATTAAAGTGTTGCGGTAATCCGTCGCAACTTACTGAGTGTACCACTGAGCGTATTACCCCCCCCCCCCCCCCCCCTTTCCCTGTGAGTGGGGCGCGGCCAACGTGACTGTTGGCCGCGCTCCATCGGCTGGAGCCGTAGCGGGCGTCCGCTCTACGCTGGTCGCTGCCCGTGCGTGATGTTTGACCCCGTCTGCCTCCAGACGATGCTGTGGAGGAGCTGGAGCCGACGGCCGGCCGCGGTTGGTCGTCCCTGCTCGTGCCCCGCCCCCTGGCCTCCCCCGGCTGGCTCTTCGGGCGGCAGTCCCCAAAGCAGGAGTGACGATGGCGGCTCAGAGATGGCGCTGGCGTCTGATGAGGGACTGATATTTGCTCCAGTTCGTGACAGGATTGATGATCGGGGACTGCTGTTGCGACACTTGGCGTGTTGACATGACAGGGATTTTGTGCAGCCGATATTACTAGTGATAAGTGGAAGCTGCAGTACTATCCTACATCGTTCATGTGTGTTCTGCGGCATATGTCTCTGTGGAATCAATTTTCATGTGATGCTCATGCCAGGTATGCATGTATGTCTGGACAACTTGCCACTGGGGTTGTAATGATGATCAAATTACCATTTGATTTGATGTGGGCCTTTAGCTCTTGTCAATACTCTGTTGATGCTGTGACACTGTGGCAGATGGAGTTGTTGTCATGGAAACAGTCATGGTACAACTGGTGGAGAAGGGACAGGAGTCTGTGTGATATATGGTGCAACTGTGGTCATTGTGTGAGACTGGCAATCACCTATATTGTGTGGATGACCGAATACATTGTATGGAAACACCGAGCTAGAGCTGGTACTGGAAGTCAACTTTGAGCCATACATGGTGAAGAAGCAGTGTTAGGAAAGCATGCAAAGGGCGCGGGAATTAGTCGGACGTGGGCGTGAGGACGTTGGAAGGGGGGGGGGGGGGGGGGACATGGCCCTCCTACTCGTCAAAAGCTAGTTGCATTACGAAGGTGCATGAAAAGGAATGGCTTCACAAGGAGGGACTTGGTTGTTCCCGACTCTTTGAGATGCTACTGCTCTGTATGAAAAACCTCTCAGAAAACAAAGTATGCTGGAGTCCGTTATACGGTGTGAGACGACCAAAAGGTTTGGAAAATTGCCGTGGGTTTGCGAAGACCTTGTACGCTGTGCAATCTCGCCGCGTTTGGGACGACATTTCCACCGTGCGTGTGTTACGGGAATTATCAAGAGCCGATGACTGCTAAAAAACGCGTGTTTCCGTAGTCCCTTAAAAGTAAAGAAGTCAGGCAGCGAGGCTTTATGCAACGCTGCGCGGCCAGAAACGCGTCTTTTCAGCAACGCTGGCAGGGCCAGGCGAGATAGCTCGAGGCGAGAAAATTCCAACACCTGATTTAAAACTTTTACGCTAGGTAGGCTATCGAATTTTTTGATAAGGCATCGCTTTACCACATAATTACCGAAGTTTTCCGAAAGGCTTTCATGAAATGAAAAAATAAGGGCTTGATCCAGTACGGTCCCGTCTTAGCATGAAAGCTTATAATTTCACTGCCTCGTTCTACTTCCCCCGCTTCAACACGCTGAGCGCGATTCTGGCGCGACCGTCCTTCGTAGCACACGCTGCGGCATAGTTGGTGGGGGGATCTGGGCTTTCGGGTTTCGTGTGTAAAATCAGTAATAATGAGTACCAATACCGAGTGCTGTGCCGCTTATTCAGATGACTGCAAGCTTTTGGCGTACTCCAGTCCCGACGGGCGACTTCAAATATGGGATACGGATGCTGGTACATTGAAGCAAGAGTACGTCCCCAGCTCGCACTTGTCAGCGGCAGCCACGTGTCTATCATGGCGCGCACAGGTGGGCTACATTATTTTGTTTTTGCACTGGTTTTGCTTATTGGAATGCTCATGCTTTTTAGAGATCATGATAGACTAAGATGTGGTTTGGGCTAGGTATCCCATTTGAATATCTTTGTCTCTGGCAGAAAGTGATATTAATGAGATGCATGGTCATCATGTGTAGTTAAAGTAGTAGGTGATTTGAACATCATTCAGATTTGTCATACAATTTACAAGGTAATGTAGTCATACCATACTGTGATCATGACCTTGCTGTGAAGGCTCAGACTGAACCCATTACTGCAGTTTGCAGAGAAGTTGTGATGGAAGGTTTTGATCGGGCAAATGTAGTTAGTCTTGGACATTTTATGGTGCTGTGAATGCATGGAGGGGGAATATTTTTTGCAATGGAAGATTTCAAAGCAACTGTCTAGAAACCTCACCTGCTGACCAAATCTGCTGACTGAATCACAAGTTTTTAACAGCCAGGGGCTGGCCTACCTATCATCCTGACAGGGATGAGAGACATGGCTAGAAATGAAACCCCTGTCTGTGGTTTCCTTGAAATGGAGTATGTCTTCTGCCACTGGCATCAATAATGAAAGTCATGATGGATGAAATCACCAAGTTTGTCATATGAATGCTCAATATGCTGGTGAAGGTGCCTGAAAGGCCAAATTACAACTTCTATTACTATCAAGTGTAATGCAGAACCATTGCAAGACTTTTATTAGAGTTTTTATTAAGTGCTGGTATTTAAAAACTGCACTCCTATGTTTAAATACACCATGAAGAGTCACCAGTGATCCAACTGAATGAGGACCATGGTAGCAATATAAGGTATATGCTTGCCTCTGTTGTATTATGCAGGCGGTTCCTACAGATTTACTTGGACATTTTTTTATCTTTGTGAACCATATTGTCACAGGCCTAGTTGCAGATACAAGGTTTTCACTGATAACATCAAAATGAACCACTTAAAAACTGAATGGCACTGCTCTATGTAATCCACATGCTGTTGGATCCTCCTGCCAGTTATTGGTTAGATGCATAACATAGCTCAGTCTAAGGGCATAAGACTAACCCACAAGAAATCTTTGGTGGTTTTTCTTGAAAGATTATTTTATGAATTCCTTCACTCATGATTGGGATTCATGATTCCTGATCCTTCACATAATTCAGTTTGCTTCATAAACTGATTGATGTTCAGCAATTGCATACTCATCATAAGTACAGCATCCTTTTTAACTCTGAAAGACAGCACCAGCACATCTACCACACCATTTTTAAGGCTGATAGCCTTCCATATAATTTTATCAATACAGCTATGTGCTGCATCCCAGAGGTTGTCATGAAGTTGTTTTGCTCATGTCAGGATGATTTTGGAATGGTGCTCTGGCATTTGTTATTGTGGTTTATAAGAAGGCATCTGCTTTGTTTAGTTTGCATGCAGAAAATTTTGCAGGAAAGCATGTAAAAAACTTGAGAAGCATTGGGTATGCACAGCAGCTCACATTTTTCAACCAGGTTTGGATGGCATTCAGGGCTTGTTGCAATGGAATACTGTTTCTTATGTGTTGACTCCTATGCCCAATTTTGTTTTACATTTTAAGAGCTGCCATAGAACATTTGCTTTCTATTTGACTTTCCACACTGCCATCAACTACTTGTTGATCAACCATTGCTGGGTCCCCTGCCTCTCTCCCCATGACTTTTGATGTTCCTTAGCCATCAGCACTGGGTGCTGTCTCCCCACTGCTGGCCCATATTGACACCACTCTGTGGGCAGACGGCGGCGCCGCGCCACAGGAAGCAGCGCAGCCGGTCGGCCGGCGGCGGCGGCGACGGCCCGCTGCTGGCGCTCGGCACGCCGGCCGGCTCTGTGCTCGTGTACAGCGTGGTGGCGGGCGACCTGCAGACCGAGCTGAGCGGCCAGCACGCCGGCGCCGTCCACTGTCTGGCCTGGGACGCCGCCGGCGGGCACGTGTTCAGCGGCGGCGCCGACGCGCACGCCCTGCAGTGGGCCGTCGGCAAGGGCAAGGTCAAATGGTGAGCACGGCAGCGCTGTACTCCTCTCCCCCCTTCCGCCACCACCTGTTGAGGGTACCGGAGTGATGTCGGTCGGGAATACGCGGGTCTTCTGTTCGAGCCCTTCCGCAGGGGCTGTGGAGTGGAATATTGTTTGTGGAATTAAAGTTATTATTGCAGTACCATACCCGTGACCTGCCTTTACTTCATTTCTTTGTAGCTGTTTGTGCTGCAGCCCAGCGTCATGTGGTGCTACCTCCCATAAACAGTGATACTCAAGTGGTTGATGGCGTAATACCCCTCCCCCTGCCTCTGCTACTGAGGCATCATGCACCAGCCAAGGCATAGTGACCAACTGGACGCACCGTCTCTGCGGCGCCGCTCTAAGCGGCCTCTGTGCCCGCGTGCCCCCAGCAAACTGAAGGCGGGTAAGACGGCCGTGCACAGCGTGTGCCCGCTGCCGGACGGCAGCTCGCTGCTGACGGCCAGCCGCACCATCACCTGGTGGGAGCTGGCCTCGGGCGCTCAGCTGCGCACGTACGCTGGCCACCCGGGCGAGGTCACCTGTCTCCGGCACGTGCCGCTGCCCGGCCTGGACGGCGAGGGCGGCTACTTCATCAGCGCCGCCGCCGGCGGCCGCGTCGTCAGCGCCTGGTGAGACGGCAGGCTGGGGTGCCGCGCGACGGGACGGGACGGGACGGGACGGGACGGGACGGGACGGGACGGGACGGGACGGGACGGGACGGGACGGGACGGGACGGGACGGGACGGGACGGGACGGGACGGGACGGGACGGGACGGGGTGAGGAAGGCGACAGCACTGAGGAGGCCTATGGGGAGCCGCTGATGCATTGAGTGTCCGCTGATCATTAATCTGGATGTGTGCCTGGTGAGTCAGGAATAATACCTCCCATCTTGTGTGATTGTTACAAGTATAGATACGCAGCATTTACATGTCACAGATAAATGCAGTGAATTTCATCTTCCAACAATTCGACCCAGTGTTGCTGCTGGCCCCCGGGCCGCCATTAACGACGGTAACCACGGCCACACCTCCCCGCGGCCGTTCTGAGTCGTCGGCGACTCTGACCCCGCCGCGACGCCGGCTGGCTCCGGCAGGCAGCTGACGCGCGACGAGACGCACCAGGCGGCGTCCGTGTCGTTCGCGCTGCCCTCGGAGGCGCGCGACGTGCGCGTGCGCGCCGAGGCGGCCGACGGCGCCGTGCTGGTGACGGCCGTCACCACCGACGGTCTGCTGCACGTGTTCGAGCGACACCTGAACGGGTGGGTGTGGCGCCGCTGCGGCCGGCTCAAGGGTCACGCGATGGTGGTGAGGAGAGAGGGTAGAATTTTGTGGTCTGGGTGTCGGCCGTTGTGGGAAAGGTTGGATTCTAGTGATTGAAGTGTTATGGCGTACCTTTGCTGTTGTGTAGTGTGGGCCGCTGGCCTGAGCCGTAGTACGTGTGGTGCCATGCCGAACACGGCGTCGAGGGGTGCCAGGGCTGTCAGGCCGCAGTGTGCTGTCTCACCGTGACCCATCCGTGGCCTGTCGCGTTACCTGTTGCCCATGACCTGTTGTCTGTGACCTGAACACGATCCGCTGACGCTGACCGGAGGCCGTCGTGTCGGGCAGGGTGCGCAAGAAGCCGGTGCGACCCAAACTGACGGTGCGCGTGGCGACGGAGGGCGCCGCGCCGCGCCAGCTGCCCGTGCTGGCGGCCCGGCCCGGCGCCGAGCAGCCGGCGCGGCTGCACCTCTGCCACGGCTCCTTCCTGCGGCCCACCTTCGAGCGGCTGGTGAGCGCGGACATCGGGCGCGTCCGGGTCGGCCAGCCGCCGGGCGGACCAGGGCGGGGCTGACTGCTGGCCGGGACAGCGGCGGACTGCTCTCCCGGGCAGGACGACCGGTGTGCGGGGCTGCCGACGGCCGGGGCAGCGGCGGACTGCTCTCCCGGGCAGGACGGCCGGTGTGCGGGGCTGCCGACGGCCGGCGCAGCGGCGGACTGCTTTCCCGGCCAGGACGGCCGGTGTGCGGGGCTGCCGACGGCCGGCGCAGCGGCGGACTGCTTTCCCGGGCAGGACGACCGGTGTGCGGGGCTGCCGACTGCCGGGGCAGCGGCGGACTGCTCTCCCGGGCAGGGCGACCGGTGTGCGGGGCTGCCGACGGCCGGCGCAGCGGCGGACTGCTCTCCCGGGCAGGGCGACCGGTGTGCGGGGCTGCCGACGGCCGGCGCAGCGGCGGACTGCTCTCCCGGGCAGGGCGACCGGTGTGCGGGGCTGCCGACTGCCGGCGAAGAGTCCGCGGACGGGCTGAAGTACGGACTGAGGCGCATTGGGGCGGCATCGCGTTACGGTGGTTGTGATGCGGGCCTGTGTGTGCGTGTTCTGGCCGCGCTCTTAGTCCTGCGGGTGTCGTTTACCACGCTGCGCTGGCAGTGTCTGCGCCGCGAACGCCGCCGCCGAATCCCGTCCCCACTGACCCCCGCGGACCCCCGCTGACCCCTGCTGACCCCTGCTGACCCTGCTCTCGCCCGGGCAGCCCTACGAGACCGACGAGCCGACCCTGTGCCTGGTGCGGGCCGACCCGGCGGGAGCCGCCGCCGCCGCCGCCTCGGCCTCGTCCGTGACGCGCGTCAAGACGCCGGCGGCGGATGGCGCAGCGGCGCGCCAGCTGGCCGCCGGCCACCTCTCCGCCGGCAGGAAACGGCGGGCGGCCGCGGCCGGCGACGCCGCCGGCTCCTCGCCAGCCCAACTACCCATGGAGCAGCGGCTGGGCGCACTGGTGGCACCACCCGCTGGCGGTGCGCTGGCGGCTCCTTCGGCGGCCAACATGGCGCAGCTGCTGGTCCAGGTACGCAGCGCGGTGTGTGGAGTTTCTGGTGTGAGCTTAGGAGGGGGAGGAGGAGGGGGGGGGGGGGGGTTCGTGCGGTGCGAGCGGGGATGGAAATACAGGAGACGCGGAGCATCTTAAATTCTATGCTGCCAGATTGTTTTGGCCCTTCAGGAGTGTGCATAGTGCTGGATAACCAAGAAATGCGTTTGGTATTCAGTGGTAAGGGATTGTATGTGGTTTCGCGGAGTTCATAGACGCTCATAGATGTTCACAGATGTGGCACGGTTGTTGGAAATTGGTGAGGTTAAAGCGGTTGCAGAATCTAGCGAACCGCGCATAGCCACCATGTAATTGCCGCCGCTGCTGTCGTTCTCACAACCCGTCGCCGCTGCCGCCCCTGGCGCCGCTTGACGATCGCCCCCCGCCGGCCGCCGCAGGGCCTGGCCAGCAAGGACCGCACCATGCTGCGGACGGTGCTGCAGACCGAGGAGGCCGACGTGATCCGCACCACGGTGCAGGCACTGCCCGTGGACGCCGTGCTGCCGCTCATCGACAGACTCGGCTACATGCTGCGCTTCGCCGACCAGTGAGTCGACGGCCGGGGCTGAGGCTGAGGCTGAGGCTGAGGCTGAGGCTGAGGCTGAGGCTGAGGCTGAGGCTGAGGCTGAGGCTGAGGCTGAGGCTGAGGCTGAGGCTGAAGCTGACGCTGAGGCTGAGACAGACTGAGGCTGAGGCTGAGACTGAGGCTGAGGCTGAGGCTGAGGCTGAGGCTGGAGCTGAAGCTGAGGCGAGGCTGAGGCTGAGATTGAGGCTGGGGCTGAGGCTGAGGCTGGAGCTGGAGCTGGAGCTGGAGCTGGAGCTGAAGCTGAAGCTGAGGCGAGGCTAAAGCTGAGGCTGAGGTTGAGGTTGAGGTTGAGGCTGAGGCTGAGGCTGAGGCCGAGGCTGAGGCCGGAGCTGAAGCTGAAGCTGAGGCCAAGGCTAAGCTTTGGGGGGGGGGGGGGGGGGGTGTTTTTCATTCGGATTTTACGGCTGAGGTAGGACTGGTCTACACATGACTGACCACTGATATTTGTTCATGTATTGTGTGAACAAACATATAGTATGGATGATCATAATATGATGAACTACAGCATCGTCACGTGGAATCATGCTCTCCGACATCACCACAGAAGACTGCACCGTTTACGTTTTCTAATGTTAAGTTTTGTAAGAATGCTCAGATTATCTGTTTCGGTGCTGATTTGGCCAACACCTCATCTGCGTGCCCCCCGTTCCTCGCTAGTGGACGTTATAAGCTGCACCATCACAAGCTCCCCTGCCCGCTTGTCTGTGGGCAAGGCGCTGCGCTCAGGCGTGTTGTCTCTGCATGTCTGAGTGTGCGGGCCACTGACCCGTCCGGCCCGGCACCGCGCATAGGAGTTTCTCCGGCCTCAAGTGGCTGCGGGCGGTGATGGAGCGACACTCGTCCTTCCTGCTGACCCAGGGTGACCTGGACTCGCTGCTGGCGCCCGTCTACAGCAGCGTACAGGTGAAAGCCGCTCTCGGCCGTCCCCCAGAGGCGTCGTGGGTCCCGGGGGTCGTGCGACCCGTGGTGATGGCCTCGGAGGTCCTGCCTCCTCCGAGACCGGGTCGGGTCTCCCCGCTGAGCGCGGCAGCGTTCGTAAAGCCTCAGTCGTTCTGTCGCTGGCGGCTTCAAACCGCTGCTACAGTGTCGAGCCCGCGGTGTTTGGGCTGTCGTCGCCGCTGACGCAGCCCGCACTGAACCGGGGGCTACACTACTGCAGAAGCCAACTGATGTGTCGGACCCAGTGACTATCTTCGCCCGCGAGCATGACACCATTGTTTTGGGTTGGGTTTGCACTAAGTTGCGTTGCCAGTTGGGATTGTATGCGGCGGTGTCACTGTGTTTCACTGTGTGCCAGCTTTGCGAGTGGGACAAAGTCATCAGAAATAGCCCCGCAACAAAGGGGCCTTCTCCGCACGTGTCGCTCAAAAACAAGAATGTCCGATGCACTAGAGCCGCTGCGGTCTGTCTGCGTGCGCCAGTGCCGCCAGCGTGTCCGTGCGTCTGACCGACCAGCCTCGCGCCTGCGCGACAGGTACGGCTGCGCTCCTACCCGCGCCTGCTGCAGCTGCGCGGCCGGCTACAGCTGATCGCCGGCCAGATGGCGGCGCGGCAGCGGCAGGCGGCCGAGCGGGCCGGCGCGGCCGCCGACCAGCCGCCGCTGCTCGCCTACCAGGACGGTGAGGCGCCGACGGGGCCGACCGGACCCGACGTGGAGGGGGGGGGGGGGGGGCTGGGACAGAGTGGAAAACAGGGACCGGACCGGGCCGAACCAAACTACTGGACGTGGGGGGGGGGGGGGCTGGGACAGAGTGGAAAACAGGCACCGGGCCGGCCGAACCGAACTACTGGACGTGGGGGGGGGGGGGAGGGGGAGGGGACTGGGACAGAGTGGAAAACAGGGACCGGACCGGCCGAACCGAACTACTGGACGGACCAGGCATTGTCAGTTCATTTATTGATGCATGGCATTCAGTGTTGTGTATTCACTGGTCACTTTACACATTTTCTCAAGTGTTTCGCTGTTTGTGTTCTTGCTGCTGTGTTCTGTGCTTCCCGGGATTCCCACGCGTAAGCTGTCTACTCCCATCGTGTGTCGGCGTCCACGCTCCTCTGATGCGTTACTATATCGACGCGCCCTGTCCGTCAGACTCTTCGGACGACGACGGTGACCTGCTCGGTCTGCCGGCGCACTCGCCGGGAGACCTGTCGGACATGTCCGAGGACGACCACCCGATGGAGGTACGACCGCTCCCCAAACCGGGGGCAGCCCTGGCGCAGGGGTGCGGGCTATGAGCGAGGCGCAGGGTGGTGCGGCGCTGCTTCAGGCATTGGTGTGGGGTGGGGGGATGTAGGCCACCCTCAAAGGACAGCATAACATTGCCCACAAGAAGGAAGAGGTGCCAAGTGTGTATTGGTGGTTTCCTTAAAGAGCTCATCAAGGCTTGGCTCATGTGAACATTGCCAGGTCACGAAAGCTCGCATCCAAGTGACGAGACTCGCAGGGGTTCGAACTTCCGCCGGTGTGGCGTCGCGAGGCGTCCGGTAGACGTCTCGCGCTGACTCAGCCGTCCTGCCGCCAGGACGAGGACGCGTCGGAGGACGGCTCCGAGCCGGAGGACGGCGAAGAGCCCGACTCGGACGACAGCGACGAGGACGAGGACGAGGACGAGCTGATGAACGGGGACTGAACGGCGTCGCGCGTGCAGCGACGGTGAGGCGTCAGTCTGCGTAATGGTTCTCAGCGAGCAAGGTTACAGGGCGGCATAAATGCTGCGTCCGAGGACCCCTGTCATCGTCCCAAGTTATCACGTGATCACGTTGATGTTTATGAATGGCCCAATGTTTGGGATGGTCGGAGATTGTTGCGTTATGAACCCGTTTTCTTGCACGTATTACGCCTGTGTCTCCAACAGTGCCTTCGGCGGTAAGTGTCGCGTGTTTCTGGTGTCTCCATGCTGTACGTTTGTCGCGCACTCAGCATGTTCACAGGAGCCCGATGGTCATGAGGGCATCGTGTCCCTAGTGTGCGCAGCTGCCGTTTTTCTGTGCCATTCGCCGACCTAACATCCATCCCCGTGTGTTCGCAGGTTGAGAAACAGCCTGGTGCCGGGGCCCTGGGGGTCCAGCCAGACCGACGCACCGCCGGCCGACAGGGACGACATCTGTTGACGTTTTGTGTAATTAGCGGGAGATGAGATATTTTTATCGGCTGGTGCTGTGTGCCACTGGTGACCTTTCGATGCCTTTTAGCGGTGCACATGTGTGACGGATGTCGCTCCTTCAGCTGCCGCCGAGTGTGTTAACGTGGTTACATCTGCAGAGCATGCTTTAGGGCGAATACATGGTCATGACGCATCATCGCGAACGCTGCGTGTGGTGACGGACCGGAGTGGAACAGGAGCGGAACTGGAGCGGGTGGGGGCTCGCCGGATGTGTGGTGGCAGACCGGAGTGGAACAGGAGCGGAACCGAAGCGAGTGGGGGCTCGCCGGAGGTGTCGATTGGTAGACCGGAGCTAAACTGGAACGGATGGGGCTCGCCGGAGGTGTGTGGTGACGGACCGGAGCAGAACCGGAGCGGGTGGGGGCTCGCCGGAGGTGTGTGGTGGCAGACCGGAGCGGAACAGGAGTGGAACCGAAGTGGCTGGGGGCTCGCCGGAGGTGTGGATTGGTAGACCGGGGCTGAACTGGAACGTATGGGGCTCGCCGGAGGTGTGTGATGACGGACCGGAGCAGAACCGGGGCGCGTGGGGGCTCGCTAGAGGTGTGTGGTGACGGACCGGAACGGAGCCGGAGCGGGTTGGGGCTCGCTGGAGGTGTGTGGTAGCAGCCCGGAGCGGAACTGGAGCGGGTGGTGTCTCGCCGGAGGTGTGTCGTGACGGACCGGAGCGGAGCCGGAGCGGAGCCGGAGCGGAGCCGGAGCGGAGCCGGAGCGGGTGGGGGCTCGCCGGAGGTGTGTGTAGACGGACCTGAGCGGAGCCGGAGCGCGTGGGGGCTCGCCGGAGGTGTGTGGTAGCAGATCGGAGCAGAGCCGGAGCGGGTGGGGGACGCGCCGGAGGTGCGTGGTGACGGACCGGGGCAGAACAGGAGCGGAGCCGGAGCGGGTGGGGGCGCGCCGGAGGTGTGGTGACGGACCGGAGCGGAACAGGAGCGGAGTGGGAGCGGGTGGGGGCTCGCCGGAGGTGTGTGGTGGCGGACCGGAGCGGAACTGGAGCGGGTGGGGGCTCGCCGGAGGTGTGTGGCGGCAGCCCGGGGCGGAACTGGAGCGGGTGGGGGCTCGCCGGAGGTGTGTGGTGGCAGCCCGGAGCGGAACTGGAGCGGGTGGGGGCTCGCCGGAGGTGTGTGGTGGCAGACCGGAGCAGAGTCGGAGCGGGTGGGAGCTCGCTGGAGAAATGAGTCGGTGCCAGGAGCAGTAGGACAGATGTGGCGGCGTAGGTGGCAGCTAGATGACTTCTTGCGTAAGGCGCACAACATTCGCCTGGGTGTAATTCCTACCATGTGAGGCAGTGGGCAGTCAGACCGCGAGAGACACATGTGGTGGCGTCATCGACCTGCGTCTGATTGCTTCCAGCTTGGGTTGATGCTGTCACTGATCGGAATCGCAAGGTAGCTGTGAGCTGCGCTGCGCATAGTAGAGTGATGGTGCCAGATGAAACCAGGCACTTCTCGGCCAACGGTCAGTTATGTTTTAACACGGTGGCTATCGGCAAATCTATACCAGTTATCGGGGATGCGGATTGCTGACCAAAGAAGGAGGTGCCAAGTTTGAACGAGAGACGAGTAAAAAAAGGACGAAGGCCTGTGGGGGTCCGTCATTTTTGAACCGCATTTCCAGAGAAGCATATAGCAAATGTTGTACCTGTCACACCTTAAAAAACACGCTACGGCGTTCCTGCTTCCGCTTCATCCGGCTTGTTTCGTTACTGAAGTCTTGTTACGGCCGCAACTCTGCATTCGTGCTTAGCAGTCCTGGCCTCTGGGGAGGTAGCGCAATACCGTTCCGCGTCGGACCAACTCGCATCACCTCCCCTCCCCTCTTGCCATTTTCCTGGCTCGGAGCCTGGCTATGAGGGACACGCTTGCTGGGCATTTTGGTTTGCCCCTGGGACGTCATTCCCTTTCCAGCGCCCAGCACGCCTCTAGCGGAGTATCGCCTGCTGTCTGGCCAGTGACCCCGCCCGTGCCGTGGGCCCCGGCCGACCACCTGGTGCCCAGTTCGGTCACGGCAGACCGTTTTTGCCCGCTGTCGGCGAGGTTATGATCAGTGCGGTCTGTGGTCATGTGGAAGACCACCGATACGGACTTCTTCCGGTGCATTCGTGCACGCAGAGGCGTAGCCAGGATTTCGATTTTGATAGCAAGACGCTCACGGCTATATTTTTTCCCCTAAGACTGCGCAGTATTGAATTATCGTAACAGGCCATTTGATGGCTATCACGCCCTAAGGCGATGCTTTTGCTCCCGAAATCTCAGCGTGCGTCCGCTTCTGCGCCGCATAAGCACTTGGTGCCTGGCGTGCGCGGAAGGTCTTCTGTGTGCGACGGAGAGCAGATGTTCAGCGTTGGTCGTTGCTCGTAGATCAGAGTGCATTGAGCTGCACACGTTTTGTATGTTTTCAACATAGTTAAGCCTGACTGTTGTTTGCTCCGGACAGCCGTTTGTCTGGCAGGCCTGCGGGGCAGGCGGGCATTAGCTGTTAGGCCTGCACAGTCGTCTGGCATCAAGGAGAACGCTCTCTTTCCGTTCAAGTACAGAATATGGCAACGTCACCGATCAGGATCAATCTAAAGGATCAGCACCAGGTGAGAAACGAAGTTCAACGTGACGTCACTTAACTTCGGATGGCCCAGCCCTTCAACGGACAGCCCATCTCCGGTAGAACATTGCTGGTCAGTCCTGGTCCTGAACGTTGCCATTTTTGTTTTGCAAAACTGTTGGCAGATAACGTCGTACGTCCCCCCGCGCCCTGCATATCGCTCAGCGATCGATACGTCAGCAGTAAAGCGTTTCACAAGTAAAGGTGCGCCCAGTTGTGCTCGCGGTTACATTGACATTACATACCGTGTTGCACATGGCGGACGCCGAGCGAGGTTGATCAGTGACCTGACCACGCTGCAGGCGTCTGTCCGTCTCGCCGTGTGCGTGGCGTGTGCCGCCACCGCGCTATCAGCAGCGTGGTACCTGCCCAATGTCAGGAGCATGGACAAGAACGACCCGCTGGCCGATCAGCTACACGCCGCGTTTCTGGAGGCGTTGGCAACAAACCGCACGGTAAGGCTCGACACCTGTGCGTTGTGGGAAGCCGTGGCCCGCGCTTCTCCGGGGAAAGTTGAATCTCTTGAGGATGTTTTATCAGGTGTGATCTGCTGGATACGGGACTTGGTGTAGTTCGCGTTTTTCTGACATGGGCTTGACGCAAGAGCGAGAATTTTCCGTCGCAAGAAATTGTATGCGGTTGTAAATTATGCATGCGTTTGTCGCCTCGTTGCGCACGACGTGAGGCCCAGAAAGAGTGCTGAGAACACGTGTTTGCAGAGTTACGAGAGGTAAAGTCAAACGTAAATATTGGAGATGGAAGCAGATTATGACAATGCACGCCAGCATACTGGTGTAAGCTGAAGCGCGATGATAGCAATTATTCGCTTTACTGCCGGTCCTCTTCAGCTGGCACCAAGGATCGAGGCTGCGGAGACGGCTGCCAGCGGGGCTGAGGCCGGCAAGCCGGCGCCCCGCGGCCCGCCACTGCCCTTCAGCAGCACCGTCAGCTGGACCGACCACGGCTGGGGCCGCTACGGCATGAACATGACGCTCTCCGACCGACTGCCGCTGCGGCGAGCCGTGCCCGACACACGTGATCTCGGGTGAGCGGCCGCCGAGGCTGGGACACCTGACCTGGACTAATCGGACCGGGACACCTGACCTGGACTAATCGGACCGGGACACCTGACCTGGACTAATCGGGCCGGAGTACCTGACCTGGACCGACCGGGCCGGGACACCTGGCCTGGACCGATCGGACCGGGGCACCTGACCTGGACCGGTCGGACCGGGGCACCTGACCTGGACCGACCGGACCGGAGCACCTGACCTGGACTAATCAGGCTGGAACACTTGACGTGGACTAACCAGGCTGGGGCACCTGACTTGGACCGATGAGGCTGGGACACCCGGCTTGGACTACCCAGGGTGGGACACCTGACCTGGACTTACTGGCCTGGGACACCTGACCTGGACTACCCGGGGTGGGACACCTGACCTGGACTAGCTGGCCTGGGACACCTGACCTGGACTACCCGGGGTGGGACACCTGACCTGGACTAGCTGGCCTGGGACACCTGACATGGACTAACCGGGGTGGGACACCTGACTTGGACTACCCGGGCTAGGGCGCATCCCTCAGCCTCGCCGTTCATGCGTCACCAGTGACATTTTATCTAGGGCGCTGAACCAATTAGCGATGAGAGGTATGTAGGCAGCAGAGAGCCCTCTTACATGGATCACCTTGTCAAATTCGTTCTCTGGAGCAGGTGCCAACGGCGACACTACCCGGCGGCGCTGCCGGCCGCCTCGGTCATCATCGTCTTCCACAACGAGGGTCTGTCGAGCCTGCTGCGAACGGTGCAGAGCGTGCTGGATCGCTCGCCGCCTCACTTGCTGCACGAGGTGCTGCTGGTGGACGACTTCAGCCACTTCGGTAGGACCCGCAGTGTCCACGTGTCGCCGTCTGAAGGCGACGCGCCAGTCTTGCAGGCCGGCTGGCGGCGTGCTGCCGGTGTGCTATTTGACATACACGAATTGTTTGTAAATCTATAATGGTCAAGATGTATGCATGCACTATGTGGGGTAAATGTTAAACAAAATAAAGCGAATTAAGGTAGAGCATATTGCTAGGTTAATGGCGATACTTGACATGGCTTAAGACAAAATAATGCTGCATAAAGCTACACAAGGCTCTGTCATGTACCACGGGACTGTTTTTTGTTGCGGGGGGGGGGGAGGACTCCAGCTCAAGCATTAGTTTCTTTGCTGTCACCTTTAGGCTGATAATGGCCTTAATCCCATTTTGAGGCCGATGATCTCGAAATCCACAAAGATTACCCCCAAATGTGACGTTTTCACACACCATTAACAAGCTGCCCCCCCCCCCCCCCCCCCCTCCCACACCCCGTCACCGGCGACTGACCGGTACCACCCAACCCCAGCTGACCTGGGCGAGCCCCTGGAGTCGGCCGTGGCCCCTCTGCGTCGGGTCCGGCTGCTGCGCTCCAACCGCCGCGAGGGCCTGATCCGAGCCAAGAGCCTCGGAGCGCTGGCCGCCGGCGGCGAGGTACTGCTCTTCCTGGACGCCCACTGCGAGGTCAACACGG